CATGAGATGTTTGCGCTTCACTGCCTGTTTTCTGATTGATGTTTGGTTTACTCCCCAACAAGGCAACGCAAAGTCAGTTGTCAGTTGTTGTGTCTTTAAATTGAATGCCAATTCAACGGTCTCCTTCAACATGACTCAACGAAAGCTGCCCTCGACGTTGTTAGGTCAATGAAACCAAGTGTTTCTCATGACGTTCAGGTCAATCAAATCAAAGTGTTTTCCATGAGTCCAGGTTGATCAAAGTGTTTCCCATGACGTTCAGGTCAATCAAAGTGTTTCCCATGACGTTCAGGTCAATCAAAGTGTTTCCCATGACGTTCAGGTCAATCAAAGTGTTTCCCATGACGTTCAGGTCAATCAAAGTGTTTCCCATGAATTCATGTTGATCAAAGTGTTTCCCATGAATTCATGTTGATCAAAGTGTTTCCCATGAGTTCATGTCAATCAAAGTGTTTCCCATGACGTTCAGGTCAATCAAAGTGTTTCCCATGACGTTCAGGTCAATCAAAGTGTTTCCCATGACGTTCAGGTCGATCAAAGTTTTTCCCATGAATTCATATCGATCAAAGTGTTTCCCATGAATTCATGTCCATCAAAGTTTTTCCCAAGAGGTGAGGTCGTTGTAATAGATGAGTATGTTTAATGTGAATGTGAACATGATCTATAATAGCATGTTATTTCTATTTTTTTCTGCCAACATCATACGTAATTGTGACTATGTGAAATCTGGATGTTCATGTGCTGAGTGAGCAACTCTTTTTTTTTTTTAAAATCCGAATGATCCGACAGTGAGTACATTTATTTCGCAATGGTCTATGAGTAAGGACCAGTTGGAGCAAAATCTTTACATTTAGAAAGCTTCCTTCCGGCAACAGGACAAAACGATCAACTATAAATGAACAACAATGGATGAACGTGTTTGGATAAAAATCTAATTTCGCTGGCTCGATAATTGGGAACATGAAGATACACACAAGGAAGGACCTGCAATCTGACACAAGTCAATATTACTATGCTTGCATCATACGAAACAAATAACAGGAGGCTGCCCCTGATCTACAATCAGACAGGTGCAATTTCATTAATGTTTAAATCATTAAAAAAAACACACACAAAAACAAAAAAACAACAACAACAAAGGACATGTTTTACCAGGCACTGGCCTCTGACATCACCAGTTGGAAATCAGATGACAACAACAGCCAAGTTCAACCGCTCATGTCATCTCACTAAAATCAGAGCTATCTACCTTGTCGTCTGCATCAATCAAATGTAAACAAATGAGCTAATTAAAATAAAAATAATAAAAATATTTTCAGAGACAAAGTACATGGGTACAATAATCTGGTATGATCTTACACCACACTCTTTCACACCCCTGGCATAGATAAGATTAGGATTATCATAAATCTACATAATCCATAGTTTGATATAGGCCAACTGCAATGATCTTACACCACACTCTTTCACACCCCTGGCATAGATAAGATTAGGATTATCATAAATCTACATACTCCATAGTTTGATATAGGCCTACTGCAATGGAAGGAGGTCAGAGTTGGAATGATCAGGAAAGGTAAGGACATGAATAGGATTGACATGGAGGGCCTGGTGTTGTTATATAACAGAATAGGTTGTAACTAGATCAACGTGATTGTAACGAAACTGGTTCTGCCCAGTTGGGATTCAGGCCGGCAGGACACCTTGGTTAAATAAAACCAAATTATTATATTATTTCATTGCTACCATCAACAAAACATTGAACAAAACAATATTCCAAGTGTAATAATTATGACATGAACTGTACATGAATAAGATTGGGTAGCCCATAGTTATGAGACATAATTGGGTAGCCCTGGTGCTCCTGGTTATGAGACATAATTGGGTAGCCCTGGTGCTCCTGGTTATGAGACATAATTGCGTAGCCCTGGTGCTCCTGGTTATGAGATATAATTGGGTAGCCCTGGTGCTCTTAACCATGAGACATAATTGAGTAGCCCTGGTGCTCTTAACCATGAGACATAATTGAGTAGCCCTGGTGCTCTTAACCATGAGACATAATTGAGTAGCCCTGGTGCTCTTAACCATGAGACATAATTGAGTAGCCCTGGTGCTCTTAACCATGAGACATAATTGAGTAGCCCTGGTGCTCTTAATCATGAGACATAATTGAGTAGCCCTGGTGCTCTTAACCATGAGACATAATTGAGTAGCCCTGGTGCTCTTAACCATGAGACATAATTGGGTAGACCTGGTGCTCCTGGTTATGAGATATAATTGGGTAGCCCTGGTGCTCTTAACCATGAGACATAATTGAGTAGCCCTGGTGCTATTAGTTAAGAGACATTGAAATGTTGATGCATAAGTAAAAAGTTGAAACTTTATTGTAAGCAATCTAATATTTTTTGTCTGACATTTCTTAAAATTTGCACATACATGTTGATCAGTGGTTCTCAACCTTCCTAATGCCGCCACCCTTAAATACAGTTCCTCATGTTGTGGTGACACCCCCCCCCCACCACATAATCATTTTCATTGCTACGGCATAAAGTAAGAGTATATGTGTATTCTGATGGTCTTAGGTGACCCCTGTGAAAGGGTCGTTTGACCCCCAAAGGGGTTGCCACTCAAGTGTTGAGAACCGCCGATTTAGAGTGTTTTTAATGATGCTGCACTAAGAAAAATAAGTTTTAAATACTTTGAAACATCAGATACATTAATTTTAACATCAATTGCATTTATACTTGAATGTAGCTGTTTGGCTTAACAAAGAAAAACAAAATACTTCACTGGTAAAGAGAACTCCTGAAGATTGAGTTTTTGTTAACAGAAAACATTATAAATATTGTCAGATGGTCCCTCGTCTTTGCCCTGCTGGGGGTCACTTTCACATGTTGCTCACGCTACAGAGTGAGAGAATGAAACTGGATCAGGGCCTGCATTGAATATTCAAATTGACCCCTTCATCCCGTGAACATGCTTTCATTTGGTATCGGGGGGCTGGCACTGTGTTGTATGGTAGGACTATCGTTCAAACGAGCAGTGCCCACCTCAATGCGGACAGGGCACCCTTTAAAAACATATAGGGCTTGGCCCCATTCTAGTTGTGTTGCTGTAATCACTGGTAACATTGGGTTAAAAAAATTAACACTTCATGATTTATAAACTTTTTTTTTTTTTATAAACTTATCTATATATATAAACAAGATACACAAGTCATTTTTTTTATATAAACTTATCTATAGATATATAAACATGATTGGCGGACAGGGCACTCTTTAAAAACATATAGGGCTTGGCCCCATTTTTGTTGTGTTGGTGTAAGCACTGGTAACATTGGGTTAAAAAAATTAACACTTCATGATTTATAAACTTTTTTTTTTTTTTTTTATAAACTTATCTATATATATAAACAAGATACACAAGTCATTTTTTTTATATAAACTTATCTATAGATATATAAACATGATACGCAAGTCATTTTTTTTTTCCCTCCAGTTTTTTTAAATAACAAATAACCACCACTATCACCTTAAAAAAAAACATGCCATCAAAAATGTGCAAAGAACAACAGCTACCAGTTGACCAAAATAAAAAAAAAAATCAGCTGAACCTCAGCTATGGCAGATGGTATTGTCGACTTGTGCTGTACATAAAAGACAAAAAAAAATTAGGATATTTATTATAAGTGGAGGGACAACAACTTGAATGTTTCATCCAAACAATATTAGTTAAAACTTGGAATGCTTGTTCTCAAAATAAAAAAAAAATCATTGCACAAGACAATAAATATCGCTGCCACGGCCCCAGGGTGGCACTCTATGGATTGACGGCAGGGGGGGGACGCTGCTTCAATTACTCTACAGATATGTCAATGAAATAACAAAATAAAACTGCACTGCAAATGAGCACTTAATGGATCTCAAATATTTTGCAGGCGCGCGTTCTTTTACCATTCTCAAAATGTGAATGGTATACGGGAGAAAGTTTGTGAATCACTTGAAAATTTGATTTTTTTCCCCACTTCACCTCAACGCGGCTATGCTAAATTTTTTAAAATATTTTTTTTTTTTTTTTACATTATTTTGTCCACATATTTACAACCAACGTAGATTAATTGAATTTGCTTTCAAGGGAATTCCCATAAGCCTCTAGCACTCCAGGTGGACAAAGCCTGTAGCACTCCAGGTGGGCCTATGGTGCCTCTGCCATTTTCATTTCCTCAAGCAAACAAAAGTAATTTGCGAATGAGTTAAAAGCAACTCCTGAGTTTGGTTACAATTTTACGAGGTGGTTATCAATTTATTTACTCTCTTAATCAGGATCATGTACACACAAAAAAAAATCCACAACAACGAATCATTCTCAATTTGTTTGCATGCTCTCTCAGTGACAGAGAAATTTCAACACACTCTGTGTCACGTCTGTACAAAAAATTCAAATAGCAAACCCATGCCACGTTTGAGACTGCTTGAGTTTTATACAATTACATTTTTGTTCTAAAATATAAACAAATCATTGTTTTTTTCATCAATAAATCTTGAGAACTAACAGGGAAACAAACAAGCGAATATGTTTTAGGACCTTAACATAAACAATAAACAAGCAAATATGTTTTAGGACCTTAACACAAACAATAAAACAAGCAAATATGTTTTAGGACCTTAACACAAAAAATAAAACAAGCAAATATGTTTTAGGACCTTAACACAAAAAATAAAAATCCTTAAAAAAAAAATTGTGTATTTTTTATTTGGGTCCTGATTTTTGCATATGACTTGAGAACCCTAGGTCAGCAAGACTTTGGAGCCCTATTTCTACAATTTATTTTACTTCTCTATCTATACAAATAAATATATATATGTAGAAATGCTAGACCATGTGATGCAGTGGGACTGTTGGGCCCCAATTCAAGATTTCAATTAACTTATAAAATGATGCATGTATAACTTTTAGGCNGCCCCCCCCCCCCCCCCGTAAAATAAAAAAATATCAGAAGCCTTCATCAGGCGACCTTTGTTCCTATGTTACATAATCAATCTCTACTCTAACCATGACTAGACTAGTATTCACAATAAAAAGAATTTCACATTAACATAGAGCAGGCCTACACAACATACGGCCTGAGGGCCGCATGCGGTCCACCAGCACCCACTTTGCGGCCCGCGAAGTAACGAAATATTCTTTATTCTTATTATTTTCTTTATAGCTTCCCCCCTGGCCCGCACAAGTCCTGTCCTATTTTCTTTTGGTCCGCACCAGTTTTTCATAAAGTATTACGGCCCTTCTAACATTTTGAGTTGTGCAGGCCTGACATAGAGCATCATAAGGACATTTGCTGATAAACCAATATATAAGTCAGAAATTATCATGTCTTGACACATGTCTTTCTTGACACATGACTGAAGTTAGTAAAGAACAGAATCAAGTCCTAGGTAAAATCCTTCTTTGTTGCTATGTAGACATTGTTTTACATTTACATACTGAAGTATAATCTCTCAATAAACCCTAGAAAAAAGTTATCTCTTTTTTATAGTATTGTAATTTTAAAAATGTAATTTTTCTTTTTGGTTCACATTCCTTTTTTTTTCTATGGTTATTTTCCTGCATTTTAGAGAAACATTTCTATCTTAACAGTTTGCGTGTATCAATCTTGTTTGGCTCTTTAAAAAAAAACAAAAAAACAATAAAGCTGTCGCAAACCACTTAATACAACAGAGTCAGACCATTTCATTATAAATTAACATTTGTGGTAGAGCCACTGGCCAAGCTGGAATAAATATAAATAATTTAAATTCAACTTGTACACTTGAGTATGTTAAAGGGGAGAGAATAAAAAAAAAGAGGAAGGAAGATAATAAATATTTGGACAATTATGTTACACACTCATATTGTAACACATAACAAGAAAAGAAATAAAAGGGTATTAATAGATGAAGTAACTGAGTCGTTTTTGTTCTTTGATGTGACGTATCATGTCCGCTGCTGATTAACATCCTTTGTTTTGGTTACATGATTATTTTCAGAGGGCAAATTGGTCCCACAAGATGAACTAGTAAATCAATCTTTTCCTGCGTAATAGCTTGGTCAATGGGTAAAATAATTTCTCTGGGACATACATTAAATATAAATTAAAACATTGTGAAAAAAACAAGACAAGACAACCCAGTGCAGAAAAGAGCAAGTTTTAAATAATGCAAATGCGGGTCGCCCGGAAGCGTGTTCATCCACATTGCAGCAAACAAACCAACCCATTTTTTAAAACAAAAATCACAAAGTGATGTGGTCATGTAGTACAAATTCATACACGGTTTTGTATCAACACGCGTTCAACAAATAAAGTACATTTGTGTATAATTAAATTATGAAAGCATTTATTTATTTAGCAACAACTCATCAGGCACACCCACAAAAGGTATGTTTTTTAAAAGTAAATAATAAATATTGGACCACGGACAGCGGTCAGCAGGAACTGTTACATGAAATTTAACGGCTCACAATGATATCTCCAGGTCAGGGATTCACAACCTGCTGTCCACAGACATTAAGGAGGTGGAAGGGTGGGGGAAGGTAGGGGGGGTGAGCTCCAGGACAAGATGAGTTGCCACCCGCTGACGGAGTAAGGATATTGCACTAGCCGTTCAGGATTCGGTTCAATGGCTTCCAAACAGGAACCAAACACTGAAGCTTACAAACAAAGCAGCTGTCATGACAACGTTATACATAAATCACAGTTGATGTTACAGTGTCATGTGAAAGGAAATAATGTTTATCACCTAAGCTTAACAGCATATTCAACCTGCATCGTACACAGATTGTAGCTTTGAAATGTGCTTTTACAAAGCTGACTTTACCACTGTGCCAACACTTCCATCAAGTTGTCACAGACTGGACATATTAGCTGGACATATTAGCTGGACATATTAGCTGGACATATTAGCACAAACAGTGGACGTGCTGGTTAGTTAAATTACTTTTTTTACCATGGTGTTTAGACCGTAAACTGTCAACAAGAAATAATCTATGTACAAATTTAGCAGCACAATCCTATTAACAATAATGATAATAGTAGTTGAACCAAAATAGTTCAAGCTTCATGGTTCAATCTAGAGTTGACCAGTGTACCTTCACATCACACAACAATTTTGTACGTCCTCCTTTAAATCACTTATGAAAGAAAATCACATGTTTTCACCAAAAAAAATTGTTCCATTCTCATTTCCCTGCGCAACCGCTCAAACTAAGCCTCTGTACTGAAATGTCTGCCACAAGACCAGCCTCAGATGTCTGCCACCAGACCGGCCTCCGGTAATCTCACTTGCCCTTGTTGCCCACAATGATGAGCTTGCCGTCCTTGAGCCCGGCGAGGATGTGACTGCTGCCGTTGGATAGAGTGACACACTGAATGGGCACCAAGAGGTCCATGGTTGTGATGGGTCTCAACCTGATGGGGGATGATGGTCCAATTATTTCACAGAAACGTTATGGGACAACTCATAAAACATGACACAGTGTTTAAACTGATTACTGCAACACATCACTTAAATTTACAACTTCAAAATTGATCACTTAACCCAGCGGTTCTCAACCTGTGGGTCGCAACCCCTTTGGGGGTAGAACGACCCTTTCAGAGGGGTCGTCTAAGACCATCGGAAAACACATCTACCCTACAGTTATGAAGCAGCATCGATAATAATTTTGTGATTTGGGGTCGCCGCAACATGAGGAACTGTGCTAAAGGGTCGCAGCATTAGGGAGGTTGAGAATCACTGACTTAAAACGGACCTTTCAAAGTGATCACTTAACCGGACCTTTCAAAGTGATCACTTAAGAGAAACTTTCAAAGTGATCACTTCACCAGAATTTTCAAAGAGATCACTTATCTGGACCATTCAAATTGATCACATCACCGGACTTTTCAAGTGATCAATTAAGTGGATCTTTCAAATTGATCACTTAATCAGACCTTTCAAATGTCATTCAATTAGTAAATTAATCACTTAAATTAATCAATTTAATCAGCACACAAAAGAAATATTTAAATCACTTTAAAAAATCTTCTCCTTTGATGAGCTTAGTGTGGTTCTTATAAAACAAGTTAACTACGGCAGCCAAAAGATAAAAGCAGAGCCAATGAGTCACGCTGCATTGACCCACATACCTAAATAAGCCCCCCTCTTGTAATAATGAGCTCACCTGAACCGACCCACTTACCCAAAGATCTCCCTAATAATAAGTTGACCCACTTACCAAAAGATCTCCATAATAACGGGTTGACCCGCATTGACCCACTTACCAAAGATCTCCATAATAATGAATTGCCCTGCACTAACCCACTTGCCAGAAGATCACCATTTTAATAGCTCAATCCATAATGACCCACTTACCCAAAGATCTCCATGACTACGAGTTGACCTGCCGTGTTGCCCAGGATGAGGTGGTCCCCAGACATGCACAAGTCTCCCAGGCTGTACTTGAGCGGTTCACTGAACAAATGTTTGCCATTGACTGAATACAAATGGAGGCAAAGTCTTTCCTGGAATTAAACAAGAAAATACTAGTAGGAGGCCAAGCTTTCCCAGGTAATAAACAAATAAATACAAAAAGGGGAAACCCATTCATTCTTGCAACAGAGCAAGTAATATAGATCTTATAATATATATGTTAAAGACAAAGGTTTTCTTGAATAAAAAAATAAATATGATAATGCAGGCAAAGTTTTTCTTGGAATTAAATGAGTAAACAAATATAGAAAGCAAAGTGTTTCTTGGAATGGAAGAATTAAATACAAATGTTTTTGTTTTGGCAAATTGTTTCGTGGACGGTCATTCACAAGCGCACCATTAACCACCAACCTGCTGCCTCTTTCTCCCCTCTCCTGCCTGCTTCTCCATCTCCACGCAGTACAGCACAATCTGACCAGTGTCCGAGACAGCCATCAGAGGGATGTCCAGTGTCCAGCCAAGTTGCGAGGGTGCTCTCAAGGTCATGGTATAGTGACCTTTCAGTACAGTGTGAAGAATGACCGTTCCATCCTGGGGAAATTATGAATAAATCAACAAAAAGTTTATAGAAGTAATTTTGTTGGGTTTATTGAAGTAACTATGTTGAGTTTACTAAAGTAACTTTCTTGAGTTTACTAAAGTAACTCTGTTGAGTTTACTGAGCTAACTATGTTGAGTTTACTGAGCTAACTATGTTGAGTTTACTAAAGTAACTTTGTTGAGTTTACTGAGCTAACTATGTTGAGTTAACTAAAGTAACTTTGTTGAGTTTACTGAGCTAACTATGTTGAGTTAACTAAAGTAACTTTGTTGAGTTTACTGAGCTAACTATGTTGAGTTTACTAAAGTAACTTTGTTGAGTTTACTGAGCTAACTATGTTGAGTTTACTGAGGTAACTATGTTGAGTTTACTGAGCTAACTATGTTGAGTTTACTGAGTTAACTATGTTGAGTTTACTAAAGTAACTTTGTTGAGTTTACTGAGCTAACTATGTTGAGTTTACTGAGGTAACTATGTTGAGTTTACTGAGCTAACTATGTTGAGTTTACTGAGCTAAATATGTTGAGTTTACTAAAGTAACTTTGTTGAGTTTACTGAGCTAACTATGTTGAGTTAACTAAAGTAACTTTGTTGAGTTTACTGAGCTAACTATGTTGAGTTAACTAAAGTAACTTTGTTGAGTTTACTGAGCTAACTATGTTGAGTTAACTAAAGTAACTTTGTTGAGTTTACTGAGCTAACTATGTTGAGTTAACTAAAGTAACTTTGTTGAGTTTACTGAGCTAACTATGTTGAGTTAACTAAAGTAACTTTGTTGAGTTTACTGAGCTAACTATGTTGAGTTAACTAAAGTAACTTTGTTGAGTTTACTGAGCTAACTATGTTGAGTTAACTAAAGTAACTTTGTTGAGTTTACTGAGCTAACTATGTTGAGTTTACTAAAGTAACTTTGTTGAGTTTACTGAGCTAACTATGTTGAGTTTACTAAAGTAACTTTGTTGAGTTTACTGAGCTAACTATGTTGAGTTAACTAAAGTAACTTTGTTGAGTTTACTGAGCTAACTATGTTGAGTTAACTAAAGTAACTTTGTTGAGTTTACTGAGCTAACTATGTTGAGTTTACTAAAGTAACTTTGTTGAGTTTACTGAAGTAACTATGTTGAGTTTACTGAGGTAACTATGTTGAGTTTACTGAAGTAACTTTGTTGAGTTTACTGAGGTAACTATGTTGAATTTACTGAGCTAACTATGTTGAGTTTACTAAAGTAACTTTGTTGAGTTTACTGAGCTAACTATGTTGAGTTAACTAAAGTAACTTTGTTGAGTTTACTGAGCTAACTATGTTGAGTTAACTAAAGTAACTTTGTTGAGTTTACTGAGCTAACTATGTTGAGTTTACTAAAGTAACTTTGTTGAGTTTACTGAGCTAACTATGTTGAGTTTACTGAGGTAACTATGTTGAGTTTACTGAGCTAACTATGTTGAGTTTACTGAGTTAACTATGTTGAGTTTACTAAAGTAACTTTGTTGAGTTTACTGAGCTAACTATGTTGAGTTTACTGAGGTAACTATGTTGAGTTTACTGAGCTAACTATGTTGAGTTTACTGAGCTAACTATGTTGAGTTTACTAAAGTAACTTTGTTGAGTTTACTGAGCTAACTATGTTGATTTAACTAAAGTAACGTTGTTGAGTTTACTGAGCTAACTATGTTGAGTTAACTAAAGTAACTTTGTTGAGTTTACTGAGCTAACTATGTTGAGTTTACTAAAGTAACTCTGTTGAGTTTACTGAGCTAACTATGTTGAGTTTACTGAGCTAACTATGTTGAGTTTACTGAGGTAACTATGTTGAGTTTACTGAGGTAACTATGTTGAGTTTACTGAGGTAACTATGTTGAGTTTACTGAGGTAACTATGTTGAGTTTACTGAGGTAACTATGTTGAGTTTACTGAAGTAACTATGTTGAGTTTACTGAAGTAACTATGTTGAGTTAAATAATGACCATAAATGGATACAGAAAACAAAACAGTACTATTTCATTGAACACACATTTACCATAACCTTCAAAAGTACGCAATTTGGTTATTTCAGGGGTTGCTCAACGAAATAAAATTAAAAAAATTGAATGAAAGGTGTTAGACCACATGTGTCAAACTCACGGCCCGTCGTACAAGTATATCATGCCCGCCGTAAAATTATATCAGGCTTGTGGGGTCTTAACTTGATTAGATTATAATTCTATCCAAGTCCAAGCTATGGTGCTTCCCAACGCACACTTTGCTGAAAAACTTAGCTTACTTCACTTTAGTGAATTTGAAGCACAGAAATGTAATTTGGAGCTGTTTCGTTACCCATTTGTCATAGATGTGGAAACTGCACCTGTTCGGGCGGCCCCTTCCCTGCCCCTGTATGACTCTGCTCTTTTTCCGATTATGACGTACTTTTTCTGTTTTACGCTTGCAATTTTGCGCCCCACAAAGCTTTTTGTTCCCCAGATTCTTTCTCCTGAAATAATTGTAAGAGGGTCAAGGAAATACAGTATTAATAAATTAATTTCCACGCCCTTTCGGTTGGTCCAAACCTCAGTGTTAGTATACAAATTAAGAATGCAACTTTCATTGCATGAAAACTCATTGTATGAAAAGCGATTGTACGAGTTGTCTCACTGATGAACACTTGAGAATCTCAATGACACAGAACGTTACTCCCATTATAAACAAACTTACTTGTTTTTGTAGCCAAGAAAATGTGCCAGCTCTGACAAATTGGCATGAGAATTAAAATGGGCACACCAATGATTTTTAATTCTTAAAACTTTTTTCTATTTTCATTAATATAAATGATTTTTAAAAAAGATTAATTTTCCGCTTATTAAAGTTCACCCTGTTCGGCCTGAAACCTTCCATGTGATTTGAGTTTTTGCCCGCCGAGCTATTGAGTTTGACACACTTGTGTTAGACACCGGGTAGGCGTACGAGACTCAACCATAGAAACTGATTCCAAAAAAGGACTCAGCAGGTAGTCAAAAAGGTTGGAAACCCCTGGATTAGAGCATCCTATAAAAGCACTAGGGAGATAATTGTAGCGGTACCTTTGATGCTGAGACCACCAGGTCCAGCTCGGTAGATATGTGCACGGCTGTCACCTCTGAGTCGTGTCCGTACAGGGTCTGCAGTGGCTTGGGGTTCAAGTTCACACTCACGCCGGCCTGTAGCAATGACATTTTCACATGACAAATTGTGACCATTCTTTGAACTTATGTACAATTATGGAAGTCATGAAAGAACTTAAAGACACACACAACAAACAACAAATCTATCACCATTATAACACCAGACCTGGTTACCCCTTGGTGAGGGTAAGCGTAGTTTTCAGCTCTCGAAAACGTACTTTGCAGTTCCAAAGAGCAGTTTGGTCAAAAGTGAAGGAGGGATGGGGGTGGGGGGGGCTGGTTTGCAATCATGTTACAAGTTGTGTAAGTGTAAGGCAATCCACTCAACCGCTTATGTAAGTTGACACAGTTAAATATACAGGACATAGTCCTGCGATTAGTTTCTTAAGGATGGGAAAAAGTCTGCGGCTGGCACATTGGCAGTCAAGCATTAACAACGCTATTCTCTAAAAGATAATATTATGGTTGGTTTTTTGAGACTGAGACCACAAAGGCCAGGCACTCTTATTCTTATTTGATTGCTTATGAAGTAAACACAATAAATGTGTTAACGTTTTATTGAAAACACCCCCATTATTTAATTTTTTATTAAAATTAAACCAAACAAATGAAAGAACTCCTGAACTCGTAGGGGTAAACAGGTCTGTAACATACACACACACCTACCCACCCACCCATTCAAACAGATTTCTTAGTGAACGTTTTGAATTCCTTAAAAAAATTTTGTCTAAGATACTTCCTAAAAATTACCTGCTGAGTTATCTCCCAAACCATACACGTAGTGTCCCTTGATCCTGACACCAAATGCCTGCCACAGTTGTCCAAGGCCAAACAGGTCACAATATCTGAGGGAACATCTGACTGAATCAACTCAAAATGGACTAGACTCCCAAAACAAGTTTCGTATCTGTCACACATTCTCATCACAACATTAAAAAAAAAAAGCAAATGAATCCAGCATTTTTCAAAACTTTTAAACCACAGCCTCCCTTCTTAACGCCACGGCTGTGTAAATCTAATTAAACTTGCAGAAAAAAAATTAGGAAAACTTTGACTGCAGGTGCCCAGCAAGATTACAAATAATGCAACATAGTTGATGCATCCCCACAAAAACTTGTGGCCCAGGGTTAACTACTCGGCTCGGATGTAAGGGCTCTCTCACCGATGTGTCGGATGATATGGTTCACGACTTTCGGTCGACCCAGGCTGTAGACCTGCAGGCTGTTGTCCCAGTAGCCTCCGCTGAACAGCAGCTTGGCATCATGGGACACCACAAACAGCTTGGCGGTGACTCTCAGTCCGGGACAGAATGAGCCGCCGACGCGCTTTTTGGTCCTGCAGAGAGAGAGAGAGAGAGAGACGCCAAATAAACGACAACGCCATGGAAGGTTTAAATAATTTGATCAATTTTAGCGAAAGATATATTTTATCATGACAAGCGGCCCAATAACAAAGATAGAGGCCCAAAGAAATCAAAACTATTAAAAAAATCTGATTATTATTTTTTTTTTTTTTTTACATAATAAATACAAGAGCTGTAATGGAAGATTCTTTCAAAAAAAGTTACTATATTTACATTATGAAGGCTTAAAATCTGATTAGCTGTTCTGATTTCTCAAACCTCTGAATATGTCATCCTGTACGTAAATTTAAGTAATTTCTGGTTAACACAAATCTTAAACTTTTTTTGTTTCTGGCCTTAAAAGTTATGAAGCAACAATAAATGAGGAGAATGAACCTAACTTAAATTGTTCGTTTTCTCAAAAGTAAATAAATGGAACATACACAGGCTGAACAAAATATATCAGTTAAAAGTCATTGTTAGATCCGACAAAGAAGAAGAAGACAAAAATGATGTACTTTTTGTTGTCTTTCCAATAGCCTGAATCCTTAAGCCCAGTGTAACTTACAAGTACGCATGGGTGGAATGTGGATTAAATATATTCTATAATATGAGCAGTGGGCTGTAAGGCATCAACGTAACTTGAGTTATCTAATTCACATGAAAAAATGCGTTATTTGGCTTAACTTTGGGGTATTACCCGCCCTTGAAGCGTGACCCGCCCCTGAAGCTTGACCCGCCCCTCAAGCTTCACCCGCCCCTCAAGCTTCACCCGCCCCTCAAGCTTCACCCGCCCCTCAAGCTTTTTATGACTTGGGAACATAGAGATAACCCTTAAAGTCCATATGTTACTTACTTAGGACTGAGCATGGTGGCATCCTTGTCAAATGTGTAGAAGTTTGGTATGGACTTGTCAAAGGGGAGCCAACCGTGGACACCTATGACACCATCCTCCGTGATTGTGATCTTTAAGGAGGAAATGAAAAGACAAAAATTATAATGTGCCATGGTGGACAGGCGGCGTGGTCTGCAGCACAAAGGACAAGTGCACTGATGGTCTGCTGGTTCCAATCCCAGCAACATAACAAAAACATTCCTACGTATCAATGTATACAAAAATTATTAATTTATTACTTCTCACACTACTATAAGCCCAGTGTATGAAATGTCATTGGCACTGTAACTAAATCTTGATGGGGTATTTCATGTCAAAAAAAAAAATGAGAGATGTGTTAGGGTTAGATGTTGGGGGCCTTTCATTTTTTTTTGTATGGCTCCTCGAACATAAAATAAAATTCAAACATTCCTACCAGGCTATCTGGCATGCCCTGTTGAAGTATTGACCTTGACTGGCTCCTGGGGACATTGACATACACCAGAGGATCTAAGTCATTGGATACCTGCGGACACAGACATTTGAATACACATGAAACAAATGTAGTTGATACACATTAAACAAATATAGTTGATACACATTAAACAAATATAGTTGATACACATTAAACAAATATAGTTGATACACATTAAACAAATATAGTTGATACACATTAAACAAATATAGTTGATACACATTAAACAAATATAGTTGATAGACATGAAACAAATATAGTTCATACACATTAAACAAACATAGTTCATACACATTAAACAAATATAGTTGATAGACGGACATGAAACAAATATAGTTGATAGACATGAAACAAATATAGTTGATAGACATGAAACAAATAAAGTTGATACACTTTAAACAAATATAGTTGATACGCTTTTATTATTCTACAGTAAAACACTCTTGATGCATCCAATAATTTTCTTTAGTACAGCAGCAGCCTGACTTTGTTTAGTAAAGTTATGGTATAGCCATTGTATAGTAAGCACAACAATCCCATGACTTGGTTTCCCACAGTTTTAGCATAGCTTTATGTATACACACAGAGCTACACATGCAGTAACTACAAGGTATATCATTTATAGCAGGGTTTCCAAACAAAGGGAAGGGGGGGGGGGGCTATGACTTATTTTACTATAAGACATAAGTGTCAGTATTATTGAGATGTTCTACAATTCTCTTTCTAATTTAAATAACAATTAGAAGTCGTCCCCCCCCCCCAACCACCTGGTAAAATGCATAGTTACTTTTTTAGGGGATGCCAGACTTAGTTTGAAGGGAGTACAGAAAATAGAAGCTGTACAGTACATAGAAAATGTTGGTAAAGAACATAGATTAGGTTGGTACACCTTTCTGTATAAAGGTTGATAATAGTAAACGTTGGTGCAGAGGAAAGAAAATATTGGCCCGCCTTTCTGTACAAGACTTGTAACATAACCAAAAAATGAATAGTTACCAAAATAACTTAAGAGGACATAATAGCAATGGAAGAAGAAAATGCTCTTACATCAACAAAGAAAGGTTTCAGGTCTTTCAAAAAATTGAAGACACTCATAGGCTTCCCAGACTTGGTGGTCTTGACCACAGCCTCATCAAAGGTCAGTCTCCTGGGATGGGGCTCCTGAAGCAAACAATCTTACAGTCAGCAAACTGATACAAACATCAGCTTTAAAATAACTTTACAATCCTCAGTATAAATGATATATGGTATACGGTATATGGCATACGATACAAACAAACAGAAAAGAATGGCAACAGAAAACAAAATTCTATGGAGGAAAAAATCATCTATTCTAGACACAAAGAAAATAAGATTAATGACAATAAATACTCATTAAATAATGACTTTAAATAAATTACAGATAAATTTAATCTTAGTTAAAGTCAATCATAGTTAAAGTCAATCACAGTTAAATTCAGTCATAGTCAAAGCCAATCATAGTAAAATCCAATTATAGCTAAAGTCAATCATAGCTAAAGCCAATCATAGCTAAAGTCAATCATAGTTAAAGTCAATCATAGTTAAAGTCAATCATAGTTAAAGTCAATCATAGTTAAAGTCAATCACAGTTAAATTCAATCATAGTGAAAGCCAATCATAGTAAAATCCAATCATAGCTAAAGTCAATCATAGCTAAAGCCAATCATAGTTAAAGTCAATTATAGCTAAAGTTAATCATAGTTAAAGCCAATCATAGTGAAAGCCAATCATAGCTTAAGTCAATCATAATCAAAATCAATCCAATTTTGATTTTAAAAATTCTGCCGACCATCATTTCTAAATAGCTAAGTTTGTTTCTTAAGGTTTCATTAGAGAAAGAACTCTAGGAAAGTTTACCTTGAGCAGTTGGGATGGGGTCTGGCCAAAGTTTCTGATCATGCCTTCAACAGACAATCTTTCTTTGGGGTCTTGGATGGCATCAAGATCAACAGCTCCTGAAAAATTGTTACATCGTCCTATGACAAAATGATGATTCACTGTCATGTGACAGAATGATGATTTCAAGTCATGTGACAGAATGATGATTTCAATTGATGTGACAGAAAGATGATTTCAATAAAGAAAAGTTAATGTGGAGATTTAGTAACTTATGGCACATTTATGCACACATCGTTGATGTTATTTATTAAACATTTATGCACACATTGATGGTGTTATTTATTAAAGAAATCAGTTACTGGGAAGTACTAAACATGAAAACCTGCCATCATAATTGATGACTTGCATTTTGCATAATTAATTTTTAATAGAGGACATGCACACCTTCATATGTAACGTAATAGAAGACGTTGAGGGCCTCCACTGCTGCGGGGCCTTTCTGTTTGTATCCAAATATCAGGTCGATCCAGTTGTGTAGATGGGCCGATACATACTCACTTTCCTGAGGAAACAGGAAGTCAGTTATTTTATTTCAATTCAGATCTGACTGGCGCCCACCATCAAAATCAAGGCCATCATCACTGAAACTGTTGTCAATGTACCTACACATTTCACATGGAATCATTTACGCATAGAAGCAATAGTCAATAGCTTTAGTTTTATTCTATTTCATTTTGTAATTTTTAAATTAACTTAATAAATTATTATTTGTAATTAGCCCTAGTTGGGTATTGATCTGTATTACTGTATTTAATGGTATCATCCTTTGTTGTGTACTGTTTGACACGAGCCAAATATTAATTATTTTTTAAAGTTTTTTATTATGTTTGTTAAATTGTATGTACAGCGTGGTGAGCCCAGCCCCAGACCACACTATATAAAAACCACTTATAATAATAATAATAATAATAATAATAATATAGCCAAATAAGAGATTAAATTCTCCACACATTATAACAGTATGTAACACAGGTCTATATTCACATAAATGTATTTTTTCGTTATTTAGATATTAATTAAGGGAATGATTTCTTGGTAATGCCCAGAGAACATTAGGAAGGTAGAAGAGAGAGAAGAAGAAGTATGGATCAGCCACGATCGTTAGGAGTGAACAATTATCAATGAAAGAGAGAATACTGGTAAATTACCAGGTAATTGTTCTTGTATTTCAAAGGAGCTAACATTGAACACTATATTTGTTTAATCACTGTGTTATTACTGTGACCATAAAAAAAAGTGGTGTGTAGAAATCGGAATTGATATTTTCATCAAGGGAGATGAGGAACACATGTGATCCGTGAGTGAAGGATGGAGTCCCCCCAAATCTTCATATAGCAATGACCCCACAGAGGTTACAATGAGTATCATAAGTTAATCAGCTCATAGATTTAGCCTAAAAACCTCATCAGTTACAAGAATAATTTAAAACATATTCAATGATATTTTGTGCTTATACTTGTATAAAACACATCTTGTCAGTGTCTGGAAACGTCCCTGATTAGTAATTAAATAACAGCTCCGGAACAGTGCATGGGCAAGAAGTCACATTGGTGGACAAACTGCATGGGTCACACCTTGTCATACAGTAGTAGTCTGTCTGTGTTTATAAACCACTTACAGTTATTTGATATCGTGGTGCCACAGGCAGGAAAAGAGCGTGGGGTCTACCCCCAATTTTCAACACCCCAACATTTAAAGCAGTACAGTCCCATCTGTACTGTCTAGCAGCCTAGCGATAAACTCATAAAGCCATGGCATGTGACCAAACAAAGAAGAGCAATTAAAAAAAAAAAAAAAAAAGTTTACCAAGGCCTGTCTGTGTTTGTAAATGAACTCTTCAGGTGTGCTGGCCCAGGGAGGCAGCTTCACATCGTCCACAGACTCTTTGGTGATCTGAAGTCTTCCCAGATCAAAACCTGGACATGACACAAACAATTGGTCTGCGTTAGTACTTGAGAAAATGTCACATCTACAGCTGTTGTCTTAATCTTGCAATGAGTGAAGTCAAGGAAAAGTGTGTTTTTTTATGTGAAATTTATTTTTAAAATGTTAACAGCAAATATCCCCAGAACAATAAAAGAACAATTTCAGGTTATGATGAGTCATTGAAAGAAGGGGTGTTTCAAATAAAGTACTGCAATTAGAGATGAGCATCTGAGTATTAGCAGTGCTGCAGACTGCACTGCCCGCTGTACAGTTAGACTTACCATTGAAGTTGACAAGAAACTCGGGGAAGTAGAAAAACTCTGGGATGAGTTCCTTGACATCATTTGGGTTGTCCATCAGGGAGGAGAAGCTCCCAGGAATTGAGTGGAACTGACGGTCGGCCACATCAAACCTGTGAAGTGATTGACATAAATGTAGCATCATTATACAGGTGATTTACACACAGGAAACTTATAATTAAATGAATTGTTACCTAAGGACATGGTCTGCTGATCAAGGATTTCAGCTGAGAGGTTTTTAATGGTCCTGTAATTTCATTCAAGCTTTCACACAACCTGTCCTTCCACGCAACCTGTTCTGTCACACAACCTGTCCTTCTACTCAACCTGTTCTTTCACACAACCTGTCCTTCTACTCAACCTGTTCTTTCACACAACCTGTCCTTCTACTCAACCTGTTCTTTCACACAACCTGTCCTTCTACTCAACCTGTACTTTCACACAACCTGTCCTTCTACTCAACCTGTTCTTTCACACAACCTGTCCTTCTACTCAACCTGTTCTTTCACACAACTTCTTCTTTCACACAACCAGTCCTTCTACTCAACCTGTTATTTCACACAACATTTTCTTGCAGAAATCCTGTTCCTACCCATTCCTAAGGAAAGATTGTCTAAGCTTTTAATAAAAGAAGGATCAACTTTCCACTATATAAACAGATTTGGTTGTCAACAAACTTCAGCATTTGGTTAAATCCTATTTGATTTCCTTTCAATATTTTCATGCACAGCTCTAGTAATAGCCCATTGGATTTCAAAAATTTACACAGATGCAATGTCACTCACTGTGAAACTCTATGTGCAGTATTATAACCCCCTCTTCCACCAGCATCCACCAATGTCTCTATATCTCTATCCACTCACTTGCCACTCTGAAACTCTATGTGCACTATTGTAACCCCCCTCCCTTCCACCAGCATCCACCAATGTCTCTATGTCTCCATCCACTCATTTGCCACTCTGAAGCTCTATGTGCAGTACTGTAATCCCCCCTTCCACCAGCATCCACCAGTTTCTCTATGTCTCTATGAACTCACTTGCCACTCTGAAGCTATATGTGCAGTATTGTACCCCCCTCCCTTCCACCAGCATCCACCAGCACCCACCAGTTTCTCTATGTCTCTATGCACTCACTTGCCACTCTGAAGCTCTATGTGCAGTATTGTACCCCTCTCCCTTCCAAAAGCATCCACCAGCACCCACCAGTTTCTCTATGTCTCTATGCACTCACTTGCCACTCTGAAGCTCTATTTGCAGTGTTGTAACCCCCCCTCTCCCTTCCACCAGAATCCACTAGTGTCTCTATATCTCTATGCACTCATTTGCAACTCTGAAACTCTATATGCAGTATTGTAACCCCCTCTTCCACCAGCATCCACCAATGTCTCTATATCTCCATCCACTCATTTGCCACTCTGAAACTCTATGTTCAGTATTGTAACCCCCTCTTCCACCAGCATCCACCAGTGTCTCTATATCTCTATGCACTCACTTGCCACTCTGAAACTCTATGTGCAGTGTTGTACCCCCCTTTTCATACCAGCATCCACAAGTGTCTCTATGTCTCTATGCACTCACTTGCCATTCTGAAACTCTATGTGCAGTATTGTAACCCCCTCCCTTCCACCAGAATCCACCAGTGTCTCTATATCTCCATCCACTCATTTGCCACTCTAAAGCTCTATGTGCAGTATTGTAACATCCCCACTCCCTTCCACCAGCATCCACCAGCAACCACCAGTGTCTCTATGTCTCTTTGCACTCATTTGCCACTCTGAAACTCTATGTGCAGTATTGTAACACCCTCTTCCACCAGCAACCACCAATGTCTCTATATCTCCATCCACTCATTTGCCACTCTGAAACTATATGTGCAGTATTGTAACCCCCTCTTCCACCAGCATCCACCAATGTCTCTATATCTCCATCCACTCATTTGCCACTCTGAAACTATGTGCAGTATTGTAACCCCCTCTTCCACCAGCATCCACCAATGTCTCTATATCTCCATCCACTCATTTGCAACTCTGAAACTCTATGTGCAGTATTGTAACCCCCCTTCCACCAGCATCCACCAGTGTCTCTATATCTCTTTGCACTCACTTGCCATTTTAAAGCTCTATGTGCAGTATTGTAACCCCCTCCCTTCCACCAGCATCCACCAATGTCTCTATATCTCCATCCACTCATTTGCAACTCTGAAACTCTATGTGCAGTATTGTAACCCCCCTTCCACCAGCATCCACCAGTGTCTCTATATCTCTTTGCACTCACTTGCCATTTTAAAGCTCTATGTGCAGTATTGTAACCCCCTCCCTTCCACCAGCATCCACCAATGTCTCTATATCTCCATCCACTCATTTGCCACTCTGAAACTATGTGCAGTATTGTAACCCCCTCTTCCACCAGCATCCACCAATGTCTCTATATCTCCATCCACTCATTTGCAACTCTGAAACTCTATGTGCAGTATTGTAACCCCCCTTCCACCAGCATCCACCAGTGTCTCTATATCTCTTTGCACTCACGTGCCATTTTAAAGCTCTATGTGCAGTATTGTAACCCCCCTCCCTTCCACCTGCATCCACCATCATCCACCAGTGTCTCTATATCTCTATCCACTCAATTGCCACTCTGAAACTCTATGTGCAGTATTGTAACCCCCCTTCCACCAGCATCCACCAGTGTCTCTATATCTCTTTGCACTCACTTGCCATTTTAAAGCTCTATGTGCAGTATTGTAACCACCTCCCTTCCACCAGCATCCACAAGTGTCTATATGTCTCTATGCACTCACTTGCCACTCTGAAGCTCTATGTGCAGTGTTGTAACCCCCCCCCTCTCCCTTCCACCAGAATCCACTAGTGTCTCTATATTTCTATGCACTCATTTGCCACTCTGAAACTCTATGTGCAGTATTGTAAACCCCTCTTCCACCAGCATCCACCAATGTCTCTATATCTCCATCCACTCATTTGCAACTCTGAAACTCTATGTGCAGTATTGTAACCCCCCCTTCCACCAGCATCCACCAGTTTCTCTATGTCTCTATGAACTCACTTGCCACTCTGAAGCTCTATGTGCAGTATTGTACCCCCCTCCCTTCCACCAGCATCCACCAGCACCCACCAGTTTCTCTATGTCTCTATGCACTCACTTGCCACTCTGAAGCTCTATGTGCAGTATTGTACCCCCCTCCCTTCCAAAAGCATCCACCAGCACCCACCAGTTTCTCTATGTCTCTATGCACTCACTTGCCACTCTGAAGCTCTATTTGCAGTGTTGTAACCCCCCCTCTCCCTTCCACCAGAATCCACTAGTGTCTCTATATCTCTATGCACTCATTTGCAACTCTGAAACTCTATATGCAGTATTGTAACCCCCTCTTCCACCAGCATCCACCAATGTCTCTATATCTCCATCCACTCATTTGCCACTCTGAAACTCTATGTGCAGTATTGTAACCCCCTCTTCCACCAGCATCCACCAATGTCTCTATATCTCCATCCACTCATTTGCCACTCTGAAACTCTATGTGCAGTATTGTAACAGCCCCCCTCCCTTCCACCAGCATCCACCATTGTCTCTATATCTCTATGCACTCAATTGCCACTCTGAAGCTCTATGTGCAGTGTTGTAACCCCCCTTCCCTTCCACCAGATCCACCAGCATCCACCTGTGTCTCTATGTCTCAATGCACTTACTTGCCACTCTGAAGCTCTATGTGCAGAGTTGTAAACGGCTCGACCCTGACCAAATAGTGCATGACGCTGGCAGCATTGCTGTAGTGGGTGCCATAGTGAAACTTTTCTATAATCCCAGATGGGTCCTCAAAGGTGTCGTATCTGTTGGGAAAGGATAAGTCATCTAGTCTAGTATTTGATACTGTATGATGCTTAAGAAAGAACTTTTTTAAGGCATGATTTTTATACAATTCTGGCTGTTCCTGGTGAATATTTTAAGTCATTAAAATCCTTTCTCAATATCTCAAATCACTCTGTTGACACAATTTTTGGGTATGCTGGCATTCGGATACTAAGGTAAACAAGAAATACTGTCAAACATATTATAATCAATAAATATAGGTTTTATTTTAAAAAATTAACCTTATGAAATAAGCCAAAAAATTGAATATGGTTAATATGAAAAACAAAATTAACCTTAGGAAGGAAGAGAAAAAGTGAATTTGTTTAATATGAAAACTAAAATTAACCTTATGAAAGAAGTGATAAAAGAGGATATCATTAATTTGGGTAAAAGTTCTGCAGTGTGAATTTAGGATATATAGGTTGTTGTCAGAGTGGTTGTTCAATCCAGATATTACAAAGTGGGTCCAATACAATGGCGTCATCTAACAGTCTTTAAGGTCTGGTTACCATTTACATAAACTTACTTTTGTAACAATAATCTTATGTGGGCTGATTACCCTTGATATTAACTTACTTTTTTGACATAATCTATGTGGGCTGATTACCCTTGATATTAACTTACTTTTCTGACATAATCTATGTGGGCTGATTACCCTTGATATTAACTTACTTTTCTGACATAATCTATGTGGGCTGATTACCCTTGATATTAACTTACTTTTCTGACATTATCTATGTGGGCTGATTACCCTTGATATTAACTTACTTTTCTGACATAATCTATGTGGGCTGATTAGCCTTGATATTATCTTACTTTTCTGACATAATCTATGTGGGCTGATTACCCTTGATATTAACTCACTTTTCTGACATAATTTATGTGGGCTGATTACCCTTGATATTAACTTACTTTTCTGACATAATCTAAAGGGAATGGTTTCCATGTTTACCGACTTACTTTTCACGTACTTCCTCCTCATTGCGTGAATTGACTGCTCCGATGGGTTTGGACAGGTCCCGAAAGGTATTGGGGTTTTCAAGGTCCAAAAACTTGGATGTATAATCCATCAGTATCCATGGAAACTGAAGAAACAAAACATAGATCAATGTAAATTCTATTCTTTTCTAAACAAAATGTTATTCTTTTGATAAGGAGTCTTAACATTATGATAGAATGAAATTTATTAAATTTTTGTGGAAATTCTATGATCTAACGTAAATTCAGTTTCAGGTTTGGCCGGCGGTTGTAATGTGGGACGGCTGGCGGTTGTAATGTGGGCCCGTTGAAACAGAAATTCTTCTCAGGTTAAAAAGGAGGAGCTTGAAACATGCCCCCATCAGAGGCCAGGCCAGGCTAAAGTCAGCAATACTACTCACCACATGGTACTGGCTCAGGTCATTGTAGGTGCGGCCTGCTATCGTGTTGAGCTGCATCAGGTACTCAAAGTTTGAGATCTCTCTGTTCACCCATTTCTAAGGACATTGTGGGAGTGCGTTAAATATTTTTTATGCAAGTAGCAAAGATTTATATGCTGCTGTGTAATAGTAGTCATAATAATTTGTGGTCTTATATAGCGCGGTACCCCAGCTTAGAGCTGGGCTCACCGCGCTGTACATCAAAATATTAGCAAAAGAGACATAATCATGACATTAAAATAAAATACATTTATGAAATAAAGAACAGCTTGTAACCAAAACAAAAAAAACAAATGTATATTCACCCACCCCAGAACTTTTACATGGCAAACCATGGACGGCAGCCAGCAAGATCGTTTATCGGTCAGAGGAGGGGAATCAGTCAGGGTAGTATAATTTAAAAAGATATGTTTTGAGTGCAGTTTTGAAGGTCTGGGTGGTTGGTATGTTGCGGATGTGTAGTGGCAAAGAATTCCATTGTACATAATTCCTATAAGTATATAAACACAATAACTGCCCTTGATTACCTGAGTTAGACCAGAAGCCCTGAGCAGGTCTCCGGGTGACCTCTGACCTTTGTAGATGAGGTTCAAAGGTCGCAAACTCAATATGTGACTGTAAATCTTGTTACGCAAGGTCTGAGGAGAGTGCAGACAAAATTATGAGTTTGGGACTTAAAATTTCATCTTAACTCTCTGCAGTCCGACTATAGAGAAATGGTACTTATATGTACCATAGATTTTGTGGGTGGGTTATTTATTTTTTAACTTAAATTTTTTATTTTAAAAAATTATTTATTATATTATAATAACTTGTGTCATTGGTTTAAGTATTTGTAAAAATATTAAAATTATTCAAAATTTGAAATTACTAGTTAAAAAAAATATTTTTGGAAACTTATTCAGCGCGGAGCATCCCTTGAAAGCTTCACCGATTTCCAAAAAAAATAAAATAATATTAGTGTCATAAAAAAAATGTATTACTAGTATTAATATGGTCAAATGATTTTAATTACCCTCAAGGAGTTATTTGTTTTTCTAAAGTAATGTATCCAAATGGAGACTCTAATCATGAAATTTATCCCGATTTGCATATAAAAGTACCGATTAATGCTAACACAAACAAGTAAGCTTAATTTTAATTAGGCCGGCACTACGTAAACCGCGGCGGTGTACCTAGTGAAACTATTGACTTTGGGCTGCGTACACCGCGGTGGTGTACCTAGCTTAATTATTATCTGTGGCCTGCGTACACCGCAGCGATTAAAAGTAGCAAAAAAATGGTCTTTGCGGGTCTTTAACTTTTTTGGCGTAACCAGTACTTGTAGATTTAATGTTGTCCTCCTCCTCATCCCCATGTCCCTTAGTCCTTGGACCGTTGGGGCGCCACAGATGACATGTGAACCATCCTCCTCCATTCCTCTCTGTCTTGAGCACTACGCACTGCATGGCCCAGTGTTAGTCCTGTCCACTCTTTGATGTTATCCTCCCATCTTTTTCTTTGTCTTCCTCTTCTTCTCCCTCCTCTTGTGGTGCCCTGCAATATTTCTTTGGCAAGCCCTTGTTTCCTGGTTACGTGGCCGTACCATTGTAGTTTGCATTTTTTCACAGTCACCAGTAGATCATCGTACTCCCCAATTGCCTGGCGAACCCTTTCTTTCACTGTTTCATTGGAGATATGGTCTCTATAGCAGATGCCAAAAATGCTTCTGAACCATCTCATCTCCATCGGCTTTATTTTACTTTCAAGATCGGCTGTTAATGTCCAGGATTCGCAGGCATACAGGAAAATGGAGAGGACTAATGAGCGCATCAGCGTGATTTTTGGTGCTGGGGGCTATATTTTTGTCATTCCATATTTTCTTGAGCTTCTTTAGTGCTGTTGTAGACTGCGCAATCCTGGACATCAGTTCGGGCTTGGAGCCTTCTTCTGAGACTATTGCTCTTAGGTATTTGAACGGGCCGACAGTCTCTAATCTTTCCTCCCCGACCTTAATTTCAGTGGTGATGCCTGCGGTATTATTTGTCATCAGTTTTGTCTTTTTGGCACTGATTAGCATGCCGTAGGACGACGAGGTCTTATCGAGACGCTTTACAAGGTTGGCTAGCTCTTCTTCATTCCCAGCCAGTCCATCTATGTCGTCCGCAAAGCGTAGGTTGGTGATTGTTCTGCCACCAAATCTGACTGTCCCTTCATGGGCTTCCAGAGCATCTGACATAATTCTCTCTAGGAAGATGTTGAATATGGTGGGGGAGAGCAGGCATAATAATTCTAACATTGTATGTGATCCCTCGGGACGTGGCGTAAAAATGAATGTGAAGCCGGTGTATCTATTTTGTTAGCTCCAACATATAATTACGCCACAAAGACATTACGGGAAGAGAATCACATACATAGATCATGAAGTGGTGAAGTTAAAGTTGTCCCAGGCATTGTCATTATGATATCAAGCATTTGTCAACACAAAACAACATTATGATGATCAATACAAAACACTGCAGTGATTTTGGAAAGTCTTTTAACAATAATTAAATATCATTGAATTAGTTTTACATTGGCATTACACATTAGTAAAAAAAATGCCGGCGGACATCAGCATACCCACCCCCCCACTCTCCGGGTTGGGGGGATGCAAACATCAGGGAATACCGGCACATTAATATTTAAAAAAAAAAACAATATTGGCTTTTTTTTTAGTTATTTATATAATCATCAAATTTTACTTAGTTATCTTTTACTCAAGAATTATCAAGAAATATATTTAATATACAAATATATAAGTTATGAGGCCCATTTTTAAAAATATATTACATACAAAACATAATTTTAATTAAAAGAACATTTTTAGTGAATTTTTTAGAAAAAAAAGTACAAAATATAGGTGTTGCTAAAATTTTGACAACTATTTTAATTTTTATAGAATGTTTGTCATGTTTGACTATGAATTGTATTAGATGATGAAGTATTTTATTTAAATAAATTTTAAATCTTTTATAACAAGGAGTTTTTTTCCTTCATACTGTGAAAATTTTGTCAAAATTGTGCATCAAATGAAAAATAATAATACTCCAATTATATTTTAATTATTTTTATAACTGAGAAAATAAAATATACAAAAAATATCTAATGATAGCTGAGTCAAAGATGAACAAGTTAATATTATAACTGATCAGATCAGAACTATTTCAGATCAGTTAATTAATTATTTTAAAAAAATCACCTTAAGATTTTTAAGAAATGTGAAAAAAACGTCAGAATGCAGAGAGTTAATGCCCTTTACGTCTCACTTCCAAGACACCCTAACACCACCCACCCCCCACCCCACCCCCGAAACATTTACAACAAGGTTTTTGACTAACAAGTTTCACAACTCAGCCTTTTCAAGCTGCTTCTTGTGTGTTCAGGACACACTCCCAGTAGGCTTAAACTTAAATTATAAACTACAATCTTAGGCAAGTTGTTAGGAACCACTTATTAAGCTTCGTTTGATGACCCTAATTTTCATTGGTTGAATTATGTTTATCAATAGAAAAGATCAAATGCTACGGTGGCTCTACCTTTTCAGGGAAGTTGATGAAATAGTTGGTCTGATCGATGAGGAATACTTCCAGGGCGCTACGTCTCAGGTTGTATCTACGGAAGTGAATCTCCCGAAGTCGAGACAAAGACCACTTAAAATCTTCACCCCCTGAAAACACAAAACAGAATTAGTCAAAGAATTAACTTTTTTTTAAAAAGCAATTAAAAATATTTTTTTTTGCTAACACATGATTCAATGAGAAAGGATTCTGAGTAGACATTTTTTTAAAGTAGTCATTGTCACTTGAAGTATTTGTATAGACATTTTACAAGTAGAATGTCACTTGAAGTATTTGTATAGACATTTTACAAGTAGAATGTCACTTGAAGTATTTGTATAGACATTTTACAAGTAGAATGTCACTTGAAATATTTGTATAGACATTTTACAAGTAGAATGTCACTTGAAATATTTGTATAGACATTTTAAATGTAGAATGACACTGTCACTTGAGGGACTGTCCATCAATTATGTCAACAAAATAGGGGGGAGGGAGGGTCTGAAAATTTTTGACAATTGTGGACAAGGGGGAGGGGGGGGCAAGAAACGTTGACGTCAACAATGTTACTTTTTAAAATAAATTTAATTACTTAACAAAGGAAAATTAGGCAGCGTTTGTAGTCCCGTGTTACACACTCGCCCAACCTTCAGTATTTTAATTAAACTAACTATATTCCTACTTTTTAAAGACCGTGCCGTGCTTTAAAAAGACCCCCCACACAGAACTAAATATGCACACACGAGATGGTTACTCGTAACACCATTATTTTTTCGAAGTTGTTGTTTGTTGGTCTGCTGTGCAAATAATGATTTATGTAAGTGCACAGTCTACATTATATTATGTAAGTGTCTATATGAATTATAAAATGCATTATTGGTCATACTAGACTCTATTAGAAATAATTGGCTTTAACTGTGAAATTGGATGAGGTCTAAAGTTAAAGTGAGGATGATTGCCCCATTCACGGATGTGACTCTGCACGGTACATAAATTAGGATAAATATTGAACATTATCTGGGACTTATGTGAAATCTTACAAATAAATTACATGTCTGGAACGTTCAGAATTATGAAATATTGTTAAATAGACCTTTGTTTTTTTTTTTTTTTTTTAATAAAAAAATTATTAAAAATTTAATTAAAAAAATTTTTAAATCATTTCTTTTTTTTTTTTTTTTTGATTTACAATGGAGAAACCAAACTTTCACAAGTTGTCGTATGAAGCAAATGTCAAGGCATTTCCCAACAAGCGTAAGCAAGACTGTCAAAGAGAGGTAACTGAAATTCGGATTAAATTGAAAAAAGAGGACGATTTGCCAACAAAAGTAGATTAGTTATTGAATAGTTATGCCGCCTTAGCACAGAAAAATAAGGCAACACAAATGAGCTTCTGGGCAGCCCAGTCAATGAAGAGTGGAGATGCCCTTCCTAAAAAAATCAGCCACAAATGTAAAAATTGAAGAAGAAGTTGTGAAACATCCAACACAAACCATTCAACAAGACCACATAGAAATCGATGTAGAAGCTGGTCCATCCAGTTTACTACTTGGGATGAAAAATCTGTCAAATAGAAAGCAAAAGTACAAGATGAATTACAGAGTCAGATAAGCATCCTCAAGAGTGATTTGATTGGCTTGTATAAACGAAAAGAATGATTACAGAGTCAGATAAGCATCCTCAAGAGTGATTTGATTGGCTTGTATAAACGAAAAGAATGATTACAGAGTCAGATAAGCATCCTCAAGAGTGATTTGATTGGCTTGTATAAACGAAAAGAATGATTACAGAGTCAGATAAGCATCCTCAAGAGTGATTTGATTGGCTTGTATAAACGAAAAGAATGATTACAGAGTCAGATAAGCATCCTCAAGAGTGATTTGATTGGCTTGTATAAACGAAAAGAAAGTGGTGTTGTAAGTTCAGATCAGGAAAAGGAACTAATAGAGAAAAAAATTTAAGGTTGATGAGCTAGAAAAAAAACTGAAAAGAAAGAAATATGAACAAGAAAAGCAGAAGATATACCGAAAAAAGAAACTTAAACTCAAATTTGCGCTGAAAATCCTGACGTCAGCAGTCAATTGAAGATCCGACAGAAAACTGGTCGACCAACAATTGAAAAAGATCAGCCGCTCCTTTTAAAAACCATTGTTGACATTGCGTTGTACGGGTCTGCTGCTCATGACAAAAGACAGAGTGATGTTTATCGTAGTGTTAGAAATCTTAATGATTTGACAGAAAAATTAAAGATGCAAGGTTTTAAAATAAGGAGAAGTGCTGTTTATACTCGGCTCTTGCCAAAACGAAGTTTATCATCGGAAGGCAAACGCCATGTAACAATTGTACCAGAGCGCAAAATGATTTACACTCAAAACACATTGATGGTAGATTTTGTACAGCTACTTTGAATCACCTTGAGGAAGTGGCTTCTTTGTTAGGACCTAAATAAGTATGCTTCATCAGTCAGGATGACAAAGCCAGAGTCCCCCATTGGATTGACAGCAGCTAACAAGCAAAGCTCCACTTTAAATGCATGTGGAATATCGTGTTACATTGCCTGATCACGACTGGGTAGTAGCATCTAGACACAAACTCATACCATCTGTTTATGCTGGCATTGAAATCCAAAAAGACGGTTTAGGGGAACCCGAAGATATAACATATTCAGGCCCAACTTACACAGCCATCAGATCAGGCAAGCATTGCTCATCATCAGCTTATAGCCATGGACTGGACTGTGAAAGGCTACTTGAATTGGAAGAGTTTGACATTGTTACAAAGGATCAAAGCAACAAGTTGATCAAACCGATTCTTATTATGTCTGTGGGTGGTGGTGGACCTGATGAAAATTCAAGGTATCAAAAAGTTATTGATGTGGCCATCCATCATTTTGTAAAGCAGAACATTGATGCAATGTTTGTAGCAACGAATGCGCCTGGTAGAAGTGCGTTTAATCGAGTAGAAAGGCGAATGGCTCCTCTTAGTCGAGAACTGTCGGGACTAACTTTGCCACATAAACATTTTTGAAGCCATCTTGACACACAAGGTCGAACAATTGATGAAGAGTTGGAAAAATTAAACTTTAAATATGCTGGCGAAACATTGACAGAAATATGGAAGCAATTAAGCATAGACAATTTTCCAACAGTGGCAGAGTATATTGTGCCTGAAAAGTCTGAGCTTGAAGTTGAAAATTTAATAACCAAAGATCAAGTTTGGTGCCAAAACCATGTAAGAACAAGTCAGTACTTTCTACAAATTGTCAAATGTTGTGATTTAACTTGTTGCCAACCAATTAGAAGCTCGTACTTTGATATTATTGCTGATAGATTTATCCCGCCACCAATTCCAGTCTGCCAAACTAATGAGGACCTTACCAGATGTATCTGATATAATCTCACATAGATTTCCATCTCTTTTCTTCAATCAGTCTGTGAAAGTTGAAAACATACTACCTCGATTGGCAAAAGCATTCAAAATTCTTCCATATGATATATATTGTCCATCTATTCAGTTGCTATTGTTTGAACGGATCTGTAAAATCTGTCACCTTTATGTTGCTTCGCAAGCCATGTTAAAGAAGCACGTTCAACAGCACCAACAATGTATGCCTGGGTCCAGTCACATACTACATGCACCCCAACAGCAAAGAATTCATCCAATGCGAGTGGCTGCCAAAAGACAGAGAGAGCTCATGGCAATTATTGCTCATGGGGAGATGCTAAGTGCAGAATGGCTAGATGAAGAAAATGTTGACTTGTCTGGTGTTTCGGTTTCACAAGAAATTATTCAGCCAGAACCTATGCCAATAATGACACTTGAGGAACATTTGACATCTCCACGGGAAGATATAGAGGCTAGGATATAAGATTTGGATTTGTTTGTAAAAAAATATGTAAATAAATTAAAAGTGTATTTATAGTTTAACTTTTTAATCTCGTTTCTGCTTGAAGTTAGACAAAGTCTTTGTAAATATTCAAATAGTCTTTAAAGTGTTATATTGATTTGAAATTTGTTCATAATTTAATGGGGTAATGTGGATACATTTTTGTAAACCCTATAATCTCTTTTCTGTTTAGAGTAAGCCTTTGTAGTTATAAATTGGAAATATGTTTATAAGTTAATATTAAAAGTGTATTTTTATTACTTTTTTTTCTTAACATTTTACTTTTATTCACTTTTTTGTTGTAGTTGTGAACTAGTCTATTTTTTTAAAAATAATTTTTTTTCTATTTTATTTTTATTGGGNTGGCTACCTGACGATATTCTGACTACCTGACAGTATTCTGTCTACTTGACAGTATTCTGTCTACGTGACAGTATTCTGTCTACGTGACAGTATTCTAGCTACGTGACAGTATTCTGGCTACGAGACAGTATTCTGGCTACCTGACAGTATTATGGCTAAGTGACAGTTTCTGGAAACGTGAAAGTATTATGGCTAAGTGACAGTATTCTGGAAACGTGACAGTATTATGGCTAAGTGACAGTATTCTGGAAAGGTGAGAGTATTATGGCTAAGTGACAGTGTTCTGGGGGAAGGTGATAGACTGAATGAAATCGCACTAATTACCAAATATTTTATATTTTGTAAGTCTGGATATTCCCCATCCCCCCCCCCCCAATCCAAAAAAAAAAAAAAAATGGTCCTTAAAAAGCTATAAGATTACTTTAGAATTAAAATGAGTTTTGGAATTTAAAAAATTGATAGATATTTACCATTAGTGTCCACCATTTTAAAAAGGGTTCCATTTTTATCCGGACACAGTGTGTAAAAAATACATATATCATGGATTTAACAGAGCCAGCAAGATTCCAAGCTGGTAGATGTTATGTGCTTTAGGACAGCACACTAGGATGTAATGAAAGGTGATTTAACAGGCGTCAAGGTTGTCCATCCAAACAGATTGAACCAAAGGTCAAATTTTGTTTTTAAAAAATGATCTAAAAAAAAAAAAAAGTAATTTCATTTAAAATCTGCAATTAGATACTTGGCAAAAAGATGATGAGATCGTTATTCTCACCCTCTTCCTTGTGGGGGCTGCAGTCGAAGAAATATACATGGGTCGTGGTGACCTCAAGCCTTCCTTTAATATCATCCGTCACCGTGATAAGTTCACAGTCAGCAGAGACGACCAGCTTTTCTCGCCCTGTGTATTCTTCAATGTTTGCACTAGAAATAAAAGGGGCAACAAGGTAGAGGCCATGCGCTGGTGAAGTCTTAAACATACAGATTTAACAAATACAAGGACTAGACATCTTCTTTATCTTCTAGGCTTTAAATTTATTGTGATGAATTTCTTGAAATATTTCCAAATTACGATGTGATATTAGAACACTAATTCATGGCACATGAAAAGGCCAATACAAGTATCAACTAAAATGAAAACGAGACATTGGCCTGAGCCAATCATGCCAACCTGTTGGGATTTTTAAAACAAAAAACTTTACAAAAGTACCACAACTACTGTACAAAAATCCCCATAAAACTGCGTAAAAAGTCATCCACAAATTGGAGAACACCATGAAAAACCGTAATAAACAAAAATAGATTTTTTAAAAAGTAACATTTTCATCCGTACGTTATCCATGTTTTGAATGCATGCAAACTTGGCCTTCTGGATAGGCCTACTTTTAAAAATTAATTTTACCTTCGCTGTGCACTTTTTAGCATAATTATAGATGAATAAAGTCCAATTTTCATCAGATTCTGTTTTTTTTTACACTGATCAGTAGCAACTTTTATATAAATTGACCTTGATGATGAGTTTGATAGCAGTTTAGATGTAATTAGACATATTCTTCAGTTAATTATGCTAGCTGTAGTAACACAACAGATTCCAGTTTTAAATTAATGAAAGGAAAATATGTTTTGTCCGTCTATACAAATCTATTAAGTCTACCATCAATTTATAGCTGTAGTTTCACTGCACCATGGGGAAAAGCCCTGTGGATAGTTTTTTTTTTTTTTTTTACCATATGCACTTTGAGGATGTGAAGTAATAAATAGGATCCCACAAACTGATGTGTGGCCATGGTTAACTACTCAAAGTAGTGACTGCCAAACAAGGCTGTCATACTATTAACGAATGGTCAGTTCTATTGCCCATTGGTCTCAATGATGCTCAACGAAACTGCACAGTTTCTAAATATGGATGGCCTACCAATCTTAGAACTTTGGGGTCAGAGGTCATTTTGAACAGACCAATAGGATTTCACCATTCTGTTGACCATTTATTGCACTGCCTGTTAAGATTTTAATCCTGTGTCTTCACTGTTGTGTGCAAAATTTTATTTGTCCAAATCCATTGAAAAACTGTGAGAATCATGTACGGCTGTACAACTCTAAACACAATTAACTCTTGTACAATGTACAGCAAACCTTACAGGTTGACGTGATGGCTGAGTACTTCTAGTTTACACCATTGTTTGACTACATGTAAGTTAAAGCTACATATAATATAGTCTTAAAATGCAGAGCTTGTTTGAAATAAAGTGCTGTTCTGTTGGTTTTTTTTGGGGGGGGAGGAAGAATAGAAACTATTGATACTAGGGTCAAGGTCTTACCTTGAGGCTGAGATGGCGCTCCACTCTTCATCTCCAAGTGTGTCATCTGCAATGTTTTCTTTTGATACCAAAGCTTCTTTAACTCCCTTGAGTTCTTCTAAGCGGAGTGATGTCCCAGTATCAATTGCTCCTAAAAATATCAAAATTTTCCCTGAGATGACTGGGAATCCCAATATTAGAAACCCACATTATCCCCGAAATAACCCGAGGCCCCTGTGTTAGAGTACATACCCACATTGTCCATGAAGTGACGGGGGATCCCTATCACAAAGTGAATACCCAAATTGTCCCTGAAGCATGTGAACCCTGTTATACATGCATTGTCCCTGAAGTATGGGAACCCCGTGTTATACATACATTGTCCCTGAAGCATGTGAACCCTGTGTTATACATGCATTGTCCCTGAAGTATGGGACCTGTGTTATACATACATTGTCCCTGAAGTATGGGAACCCTGTGTTATACATACATTGTCCCTGAAGTATGGGAACCCTGTGTTATACATACATTGTCCCTGAAGTATGGGAACCCTTCTATACAAATATTGTCCCTGATGTATGGGAACCCTGTGTTATAAATACATTGTCCCTGAGTTGGCTGGGGTCCCCTGTGTTATACATACATTGTCCCTGAGTTGGCTGGGGTCCCCTGTGCTATACATACATTGTCCCTGAGTTGGCTGGGGTCCCCTGTGTTATACATACATTGTCCCTGAGTTGGCTGGGGGCCCCTGTGTTATCCATACTCACATTTTCCACGAGTTGGTTGGGGGCCCCTGAGTTATACGTACCAACATTGTCCCTGAGTTGGCTGGGTTCCCTTATTAAACATACCCACAGTGTCCCTGAGTTGGCTGGGGTCCCCTGTGTTATACACACTCACATTTTCCCCGAGTTGGCTGAGGGCCCATGTGTTGTACACACTCACATTGTCCCTAAGTTGGCTGGGGGCCCCTGTGAAATACATACCCACATAATCCCAATATGGCAGGGTGCCCCTGTGAGATACACACCCACATTGTCCCTGAGTTGGCTGGGGGCCCCTGAGTTATACATACCCACATTGTCCCTGGGGTGGCTGGGGTCGCCTGTGCTATACATACCCACATTGTCCCTGAGGTGGCTGGGGTCGCCTGTGCTCGTCATACCCTCATTGTCCCTGGGGTGGCTGGTCCCACATTGTCCCTGAGTTGGCTGGGGGCCCCTGAGTTATACATACCCACATTGTCCCTGGGGTGGCTGGGGTCTCCTGTGCTATACATACCCACATTGTCCCTGGGGTGGCTGGGGGCCCCTGTGCTATACATACCCCCATTGTCCCTGGGGTGGCTGGGGTCCCCTGTGCTATACATACCCACATTGTCCCTGAGGTGGCTGGGGTCCCCTGTGCTATACATACCCACATTGTCCCTGAGGTGGCTGGGGGTCCCTGTGCTATACATACCCACACTGTCCCTGAGGTGGCTGGGGGGCCCTGTGCTATACATACCCACATTGTCCCTGAGGTCGCTGGGGTCCCCTGTGCTATACATACCCACATTGTCCCTGGGGTGGCTGGGGGCCCCTGTGCTATACATACCCACATTGTCCCTGAGGTGGCTGGCATTGATGTGACTATCAAAATTGTAGTTCTGGGTCAGTTTTACTTTCATGCGCTGGAAGTTTTCTTGGTTTGACAGTTTCCAGTGGACCACTTGTTGATGTCTGGAAATAACAGGGACGCGCAACAAATGTTTTATAAGCTAGAGTTAGAATATAAAGTTACCTCACCAAGAAAAAGATCTATATCAAGGGCAACTTAACATTTAAATATTTAACCAAGACCAGCAGTCCCAAAAATATTGGCTCAGCAGATATACTTTATAAAAGTGGCTCCTCAGTCCAAAAAGGTGGCAGACCCTGACTGAGACCATTCAAACAATGTGAGTCACCTGACTAGACTAAGTGACTTACTTGTCCTTCCAAGCCCCTCTTTCGCCATTGAAGAATCTCTTGGTGGCCCTCCACTGTCTCAGTGAAAACAGGTGCTGATTCTTTTGCTGTGCCATCACGTTCTGGAACCTTCTGTTCTCGTGGTCTACTTTCTTACGATACTCAGTCTCTATCTGGTTCTGTGGTTAAACATATGCATCATATGACCACAGATAGCATCGATTCTTTACTTAATATTTTAAACAAAAATAAACCTTGAATACTCATTCAGTGCTTTAAAAGTCATCAACTTAAAATAGCAGTGCCATTGTTCCATTCCAACATCCAACCAGTGGTGGCAACAATGCTTTCATTCCCACATCCAACCAGTGGTGGCAACATTTGTTCCATTCCAACATCCAACCAGTGGTGGCAACAATGCTTTCATTCCCACATCCAACCAGTGGTGGCAACATTTGTTCCATTCCCACATCCAACCAGTGGTGGCAACAATGCTTTCATTCCCACATCCAACCAGTGGTGGCAACATTTGTTCCATTCCCACATCCAACCAGTGGTGGCAAAAATTGTACCATTTCCAAATCAAACCAGTGGTTGCAACAATTGTTCCATTCCCACATCCAACCAGTGCTACAATTGTTCCATTCCCACATCAAACCAGTGGTGGCAACATTTGTTCCATTCCCACATCCAACCAGTGGAGGCAACAACTGTTCCATTCCCACATCCAACCAGTGGTGGCAACAATTGTTCCATTTCCACATCCAACCAGTGGTGGCAACAATTGTTCCATTCCCACATCCAACCAGTGGTGGCAACATTTGTTCCATTCCCACATCCAACCAGTGGTGGCAACATTTGTTCCATTCCCACATCCAACCAGTGGTGGCAACAACTGTTCCATTCCCATATCCAACCAGTGGTGGCAACATTTGCTCCATTCCCACATCCAACCAGTGGTGGCAACATTTGTTCCATTCCCACATCCAACCAGTGGTGGCAACAACTGTTCCATTCCCACATCCAACCAGTGGTGGCAACAACTGTTCCATTCCCACATCCAAAAAGTGGTGGCAACAACTGTTCCATTCCCAAATCCAACCAGTGGTGGCAACATATATTCCATTCCCACATCCAACCACTGGTGGCAACATTTGTTCCATACCCACATCCAACCAGTGGTGGCAACAACTGTTCCATTCCCACATCCAACCAGTGGTAACAACAACTGTTCCATTCCCACATCCAACCAGTGGTGGCAACAACTGTTCCATTCCCACATCCAACCAGTGGTGGCAACATTTGTTCCATTCCCACATCCAACCAGTGGTGGAAACAACTGTTCCATTCCCACATCCAACCAGTGGTGGCAACATTTGTTCCATTCCAACATCCGACCAGTGGTGGCAACATTTGTTCCATACCCACATCCAACCAGTGGTGGCAACAACTGTTCCATTCCCACATCCAACCAGCGGTGGCAACATTTGTTCCATTCCCACATCCAAACCAGTGATGGCAACATTTGTTCCATTCCCACATCCAACCTGTGGTGGCAACAATTGAAGCCAAGGGAAAAAAACAAATCTGTCCCATGTTCCTATTGCAATTTGTTATTTTGGCCCACGTGTCTGATTGATGTCGGATTTGCAGTTGATATTTGCAGTTGATATTTGCAGTTGATATTTGCAGTTGATATTTGCAGTTGATATTTGCAGTTGATATTTGAAGTTGATATTTGCAGTTGATATTTGCAGTTGTTTTGTCAATCAACGTTTGTTTGGTTTCCAATAAATATCATTATTTGACATAATAATGATCATCCGCTAAAGCAATGTCTCCCTGTGTGAGGGTATAGGCTTGGGGGACAAAAAAAGGGGGGTGGGGGGAGGGAAGCATATTATTTAATCGCTGAGAAAGAACCAATTAAAAAAGAGAAAAAAATGGGAGGGTCTTTGGGGGAGGGGGGGGGGGCAGACAGTAAACTTTTAAAAGTTACTCCCTGCCTAATCCCTGCCTTTATTTGTAATGGCTTGATTTCCAAACACATGGCACTTGCTTTAAGTTTTATTCTATAAAGAGAAAAAAATGGGAGGGTCTTTGGGGGAGGGGGGGGGGCAGACAGTAAACTTTTAAAAGTTACTCCCTGCCTAATCCCTGCCTTTATTTGTAATGGCTTGATTTCCAAACACATGGCACTTGCTGTAAGTTTTATTCTACAACCGTGGCTTGGCAAACTACGTCCAGCGGGCCACATCCGGCCCACAACTTTGCTTCATCTTGCCCATGGAGTCAATAGTGATTATGAAGTGATGAATAATTCAAGTCTGTGATTAGCTGTTAGTATGCATGGCCCGAATACATGAGCAGACATTGTGCAAGGAGGTAGACAAATCCATGGCACAGTTTTATTTGGACTGGTAAACAAATTAAAGTGTGTCAGAGCAAAAGGAAGGGTGTTTATGTTTTTGTTTTAGGTGCTCAGCTCGGGCGATGGGGCAAAAAATGATTGAGCAAAAACTGGGCTAGTGTTTACCTAACCAACTTACCTTAAATCTGAGCCTGCTCTCCCCAATCTCTCTGTTGTGTTTGTGATGGTTCATCATCATCTCCTCATGACAGTCTGACCAGAAGTGCATCATGGTCTGGGCACTCTCCTCAAAGTTCATCTCAATGAAGTGGGTCATTTGGGGTCCAACCTACAAGAACCACGACAACAATTATATGACGCTTTTCATCACTGTAAAAAAATATTCTACAAATGTAAACCATTCATCACTGTACACATACTTTCTATGAATGTCTACCAATGTACACATATTCCACATATGTCTACAATTCATCACTGGACACACTCTCTATGAATGTCTTCCAATTGTGCACATACTCACATAGCTCTTTATGAATGTCTGCCATTCATCACTGTACACATATGTCTTGAAGTCATCAAAAAATGTGGGACTCATGGATGACTTGGGAAGATGAGGGAGATGAATGCTGGTGGTCAAGAGTTCTTGACCTTTCTCAATCAAAGCTCTCAACACAGGCATCAGGTAGGCATAGTTGTCTGAGTTAGCTAGGGAAATCAATGCATTAAATAGTCAGGTTCCATGAGGTGCAAGTGCTTATTCAGTTCTCTGTAACATTGAGATGAATTTTTGTTAATAGATGTTTAACAGTCGGGTATCTGATATTGTTTTCAAATTTGAATAGTGGTGTGCCGGAGATAATTTTGAATAGTAGGGTATCTGATATTGTTTTCAAATTTGAATAGTGGTGTGCCGGAGACAATTTTGAATAGTAGGGTATCTGATATTGTGGGGTAAATGATAAAAGTTGAGTTTTTGGGGTAATAGAAACAAAGTTGAATAGTGCTGTACCTCAAATTTTTTGGAATAGTGGTGTATCTGAAACAATGTTCTGTTATGTTGATTTTATTGAACCATTTAAATCTCAACACTGCCAACATCGCTGTAAATGCCAACACTGCTGTAACTGCCAACACTGACATCAATGCCATTACTGCTGTAAATGCCAACACTGCTGTAACTGCCAACACTGCCATCAATGCCATCACTGCTGTAAATGCCAACACTGCCATCAATGCCATCACTGCTGTAAATGCCAAAACTGCTGTAAATGCCAACACTGCTGTAACTGCCAACACTGCTGTCAATGCCATTATTGCTGTCAATGCCAACACTACTGTAACTGCCAACACTGCCGTCAATGCCAACACTGCTGTAACTGCCAACACTGCTGTAACTGCCAAAACTGCTATAAATGCCAACACTGCTGTAAATGCTAACACCGTTGTAAATGCCAACACCGTTGTAAATGCCAACACTGCTGTAAATGCCAACACTGCTGTAAATGCCAACACCGTTGTAAATGCCAACACTGCTGTAAATGCCAACACTGCTGTAAATGCTAACACTGTTGTAAATGCCAACACCGTTGTAAATGCCAACACCGTTGTAAATGCCAACACTGCTGTAAATGCCAACACTGCTGTAAATGCCAACACTGATGTAAATGCTAACACCGTTGTAAATGCTAACACTGATGTAAATGCCAACACCGCTGTAAATGTCAACACGGCCAACATTGCTGTAAATGCCAACAGTGCTGTAACTGCCAAAACTGCTATAAATGCCAACACTGCTGTCAATGCCAACATTGCTGTAAATGCCAACATTGCTGTAAATGCCAACACTGCTGTAAATGCCAACATTGCTGTAAATGTCAACACCGCTGTAAATGCCAACACCGTTGTGAATGCCAACATTGATGTAAATGCCAACACTGCTGTAAATGCCAACATTGCTGTAAATGCCAACACTGCTTTAAATGCCAACACCGCTGTAACATCCAACACTGCTGTAACTGCCAACTCGGCTGTAAATGCAACACTGCTGTCAATGCCGACACTGCTGTCAATGCCAACACCGCTGTAAATGCCAACATTGGTGTAAATGCCAACACTGCTGTAAATGCCAACACTGCTGTAAATGCCAACACTGCTTTAAATGCCAACACCGCTGTAACATCCAACACTGCTGTAACTGCCAACTCGGCTGTAAATGCAACACTGCTGTCAATGCCGACACTGCTGTCAATGCCAACACCGCTGTCAATGCCAACACTGCTGTCACTGCCGACACTGTCATTCTTGTGATGCCATTCAGTTATTAACAAAACCCATGAGGGATAAACCCTTCACCTTGGACACACAGCCATGGTGCTAAACGCAAGTGAAGTAACTTACAAGTACCTTCAATGGACTTAATGATCATTGAGTTCAAGACCCCCAGGATGTAGGAGGCTTCGGCTGAGCTGCTGATGAGCTTGGTTTGGACGAGGGAGTGCAGCCTGACAGTTGACGAGGATACCAGCTGCGAAATAAGGATCAAAATGAACAGCGGAGAATAAACTGGAACATGAACTGAAACTTACAAAGATTTTACTCAATGACGCTTATGTAAATGATTCAATCATCCAAAAATTTTGACGTTATTTTATTATTTTTTTCTCTACAACTTTTGCGTCTCATAGAGACGACGATGGTGAAGTTTTCCAACATGTGTCTCTGAGACCTATTCACACAAGGTGTCTGGAGTTTTGTTTTTATTTGTTCATAATCGGTACCGACCACACAGCCAACCAGTCAACCCTAATATCAAGTATCAAGTAACAATCCAAAATACCAAGAGTCAAATCCAAAATACCCAGCATCAACCCCAAATACCTAATATCTACCCCATATATCAATTATCAACACCAAATACCAATCATCAACTCCTAGTCATGCTATCAATGAAATGAGACAATATTTGTATACCTCCAGATCTGGTTGCTTCGAGAATGCTAGCAGCACTGAGAACCCTCTGTGGACCATCTCTGTCCAGGCAACCATAGCTTCTGTGTCCCAGACACCCAGAGCATCAAGCAGAGACATGACATCCTCAAGGAGCTGTAACATTCAAGTTTTAGGTGAATTGTAACATACATATCTTAAGTGAACTGTAACACACAAGTCTTAAGTGAGCTGTAACATACAAGTCTTAAGTGACTGTAACATACAAGTCTTAAGTGAGGTGTAACATACAAGTCTTTAGTGATCTGTAACATACAAGTCTTAAGTGAGCTGTAACTCTGAGTGAGTTTTTTAATCAAGTATTCAGAGAAAAGTTCCTGACAAGTATGACTATGTTTGCATTTTATTAATATATATATATATACATATATATATGAACAATATTGGTGATGTGATCCGTAATGATCGGTTTTCACATGTCATGTTTGTTCACACCTTCATTCATCGTAATCTGATGAACAGGTCACAAGTCTTATTTCAAGAGCTACGTAAAATTTAATCAAGGCTTCTCCAACATGTGGACATACAATAATTCAAACACACAGAGACACAGAGTGCAGTCTGCTACTGAAACACCATACAACATTCTCCCTCGATCTTCAGACTCACATCTGCCAAATGAATAGCATGTACATCGATGACGGACTCTATAGGAACTGGTCACAACTACATAAAAATCACTTCACAATATGTCACAAGCCTAATTAGGTGCCAAAAGCGTTCATTAACTAAACCAACCTACAACACATGCTGTGAACAATAAGACACCGTGCGCAACAATGACTAGTGAATATCCATACTGGACAATGGGTTGTGCACCACACCCCCCCCCCCAAATCTTCCACACCACCTGTTTGAAGCAGGAAGACTTGTCCAAGTGTCCTTTTAACCATGCTCCCTCTTAATTGTTTCAAAGATGTGGTCCAAATGTTAAAGTGTCTTTCTAAGTAAGACACCGAGCCACCATATGTGACATATTAAAGTTTGTAATTTAAGGGGAGGTGTGGTTGAAAAATCTAAAATTTTTGTTTAGCTTCATATTGGATTTTTTTTACCTAAACCTTATTTGGTATTGTAAAGGAGGTACAAAACAGGTTTAAAAAAAAAAAATTCCATTGGTTGCCTTTGTAACCCATAAAAAACTCCATTTTTATTTTTTAAGTGTTTTTTAAAATACTAAGGCTTTTACAAATATAAAGTTATTGCTATTAGATTTTAAACATAGATTATTTAACCTATAATCAAACTTTGTATAACAGGACTTTTTGATGTATAAACTAGTTATAAATTTACAGGGTCAGAAATTGTGACCCCATTTTTTGTGTGCAAAAAATAGGGGTGTGGGTGAATTCAGTTTTACATATTTTCTCTTCTAAGACAGTTATCTTAATTCTAGGTTATCCAAATGTTTATTATTGGTTACTGAACATACTGTGAAAACTTGGTGAGGTTTGGATAAGAAATAAAAAAAGTTATAGGGATATTGGTGACCAAAAATATTGAAAACGAGAAAACTGAAGTAATGAAGAAAAACGACAAAAACAATGAAAATATCAATGAAAAATAAGAATCTTATACCAAGATGGGAATAAAAACTTTTTATTAGCCTATTGTGGACATTTTTAATCCTTTTCCAGGTCCTTTTGTCTTTTTCCTGAACACTCAACTTTTTGCTGTGATTGATTTATTTTTATATATTATTCTGTTTTTGTCAAAAAAATAATAATTCGCTTATTTTGGTGAATATCAGCATTATAAAAGTGTGCAAAACCATAAAATTAAGCTAGGTAAATATGCAATTCCAAAGAGTTATTTGGCATTGTCCATGTATGCTGAAAATGCAACTCTTGGTCTTGTATGAGTTTTATGAGTTCTAATGACGGAATGAATATTGACAGTTGTAAATTTTCTGATTTCTATCTCACAACTTTTGAATCACTCGAGTTGCAACATGAATTTTTCCCAAAAGCATATTAACAGTATTTTTGTGTGCGCCAGAAAAATCATGAGCAATAACTCCATAGTAAAATCTAATTAGTTACTGGATAAAATTTTGACACTAGTCATGTTGAAAATCACATCGCATAGAGATACAATGTTGAAATAAGGGAATTATTGATATGTTCCTTTCAACTACTGTCTTATTCTTTTTGTCCTTGAATAACACATAATGAGTTTTGTGGTGTAATCTGTGATAGTCTTCTCTTGCATCCTCTACCTGAGGTTACTTTTAGTTCGATGCATCGAACATATGTTGCGACGAGGAATCTGTAACAATTGGAATACATACTTAGTGCACTCCTTCTTTTTCATGTGCAAATTGTCCTTTGGGCTAAATGGACTTAGGCACAACAGATCAGTGTAGTTTATCAACAGGAAATATAATGCATGTTGTGGTTTGTTGTGTTCTGCAAAATCATTGCACGTAGCCTCAATCGTTCCTGAAAACAATAAACTTGTAGTTAGATATTTTTATTAAATGCTTCTCAACAAAAATATAAGGCTATAATGACATTGATGACTGATAGGTCATACTTGTTGACAAGTATTTCAAGCAAAATTTGTTTGGGCTCTTATTTTACTTTAGAATAAAATAACACTAATGACAATGTCATTTGTGCCGCGTTAAGAAAAATGAGAAATTTAATATATTACCATTTTAATAGCTATAAATATAGAGCAGTGTCAGTCAAATATCACAATTACTAAATTCATAAATTGTTTATAAGTTTATTTTTACTACAATTCACTATCACTAAACTAACAGTGTTTATTACATTACTAATAATAAAAAAGTATAAGTATAAAATATAGTACAGCCTTCATTCAAATAATTCAATGGTCTATACTTAGAGTGAGTACAGTATAGGCTTAGCCTTATGAATAAATAATACCGTACTTTAAATTGGAATCTAAGTGAAAAATAGATTTTATCTTTAATACTTACCAATGCATGGTATTTTTCTATGTTTTTCCAGCTAGTGAAGTAGCATGGCGATGCTTGAACTTGAAGTGAGTAGCACTAACTAGGAGTAGGCTTAGTAGTTAGTGTACTCAGTCTTAGTCTTCTCCGAAAAGGGGGAGAATTAATCGTGTTTATCACGGCAATTAATCCAAGCCAACTCACTTTGTTTGGTTATATACTTATTTAGTTGTTTTTTAACTCCTCACATGTTTTTATTACCGACAAATTGCGTATCGAAATTGCTAGGCCTCACGAATTCATAAACGTTTTGTTTGTACCGGAAGTGAACTTTACTAACAGATTTCCTACACAGGAACCAATCAAAATTTTTATTTTATTCAAAGGTCAGGGCTAGATCACGTGATACACGAAGTAGGACAGGAAAATATCAAATTTAGCTAGACATTGCGGCAAAATTAAAAGGTTCGGTTGCTTTTGTAATTTTCTTTGTGATCATAAGCTATATTTATCTTGACCCCGAAATCACCATCTTTCCAACCATACCAAATGCGTAGGGATTGGGCGATTCCAAAAACTCATAACAAAGAGGTAAAAACACTAAAAAATAGGGAAATTGTTACATTTTTCTGATAGATGGGGTCAGGAAATGTGTAATTTATTATATTTTCTAACTTACTTTTGTAAAAACAAATATAAAAATTTAATAAAGAAATGGTTAATAAAACCAAATAAACAATAATAACAAATTATTCAAAATTTGGCATTTTTGCCAAATTCTCACCCTCACCTCCCCTTAAGCCTTTTGAAACATTGTACAGAATCCATATTAGATATATGGACAGCACTTTGTGAAATATTAAAGAAGGAAAATAAGGGATTATTTCTTGTCTATTTTTATAACAAACATTAAAAAAGAGAATCAGTTTGTTTCGCTGTTTAACTTTATCTCAGCTGCCGATCATCACTGTCCCTTTCAAGTGTTTATGTTGCAGGAAAAGCAAAAAAATAGCACTTCACTGTCAGTATCCTATTTACTGAAACAAACTCAAGAGCTCACGGGGACTTACTCTGTTAGAGAAAGACTCAGGGGGGGCATCAGGCTTGGTGACAAAGCCCTGCACCAGGCGGATGAGTTCGATGGCATTTTCTGAGAGGGCCAGTGGAGTCTGGACACCGGAGCTGCGAATGTCCATCATACAGTTGTGCAGCATCATCTCGAGGAGACGTCTCTTGATCTCCTCAGGGGGGCGGATCAGCTCATGGGACTCCCCGAGCTCATCTATCCAGGTAAACACCTGACATCTCTCCTGAGGATCAACAGTAAATAATAAGCCATTATCTCACAGAACTCTCCAAGCTCAAATACCCAGGTAAGCACCTGACATCTATTCTGGGGGATAAAAATAAAATAAATGCACTATTTTACAGTACTCTCTAAGCTCACATACTAAAGTACATCTCTTCCAGGACTCTCTAAGCTCACATACTAAAGTACATCTCTTCCAGGGAGGAGGAGACGGGGGTGGGGATAACCTTACAAATTAAATGACAGAAATGTTACCTACCTTCCATATCTCCTTGCTGGAGCCCTCAATACCTTTCCACATGATGGACAGGAGTATTATAAGTATATTCTGGCAAAGTTCTTCTTTTTGTTCTATGGCATCGGTCAGCTGCACCCCAACATGGTCAAGGACCTGAAGAACATTGAGATGGAAGATAGAGACGAAAAAAATTGGTTGATTTTTTTTTTTTCCCCATAAAGTTTTTAAAAAAATATCAACAGCAGCACAGCACTGTAAAATCATGTGTTTAATTTAAAGGGACATGTGCTTAGCACAAGATGTTCATGAACAGATCTGATAACTGCTGAAGTTATGACACTGAAATTCATTAAAAAAAATGAGCAAAACAAAGTGCGGGGAAAACCTAAGAAAAAAGGATGCAACAAAACAACAAGCGTGTCTGTGTTCATCAGCAAACAAACAAACAACAGTAAAAAGAGAATCTGATTTTAAAAGATAGCACTTAGCTGAAATGTGGTGTCTGAGAGGACGGCCAAAGGCTGTTTACAATTTCTTAACATAATTACGCAATGTTTGTTAACTGGAAATTTGTGTTGAGTTGATATAAACCTAACAATTCTCAAACTGTAATGCTCGTAACTCATCAATTTGATGATTAGTGAAACTGATGCCACACACAATAAAAATTTAGCTTCAATACGAGCATTTATTTTTATTGCCAACAGGAACTGACCTTTTTAAAATTCTCGCCCTGTAAAGCCGTTGAACCCCTCCTGGAGTCATCGGGGCCCCCTAAAAGATCATCCACTGAGCTCCTCCTGGAATCGCCGTCCTCCTGTAAGAGATTGTCGGATGAGCCCCTCAGCCAGTCGTCCGATCGGTGCGAGTCGTCAAGGCTGCTGTTCAGCTGGGGTGAGGACCTCAGGGTGTTGAGAGAAGACTGCGAGTTATCGAGAGCGCTGTCCCCTTCGAAGCCCGAAGAGGAGAATGAAGTGTTGCTGATGCTAGAGGAGACATCACTGCGGTCTCTGGCCGTCGATGAGGTATCGCGGAGAAGATCCTCAACACTGGCGCTCGAGCTTCGACTGCCATTACGTAAATCTGTGTGTCAGATAAAGTAGCATATCATTATTTTAAGGGTAATTTTATAAAAATGGTATGACTTCATGTATAGCAATGGCCTAATTAACCCATTCAAACCGTCGTAACAGCAAAATCAGCCCACTCAAACACGTTTTTTTCATCTTATATGTAGCTAGCACAAATCTCACCATTGAAATGAGAGCCTCACAAGATACGAGACCACGGTGGACAACTTCCAAATTTTTAATTATAGATCAGACAAGGAGTATTCATTATTTTGATAGAAGATTAACTTTTGTAGCACCATGTTCATGAGTAATCAAGTAATTTGTCATAGTTCTTTAAAAATTTACCCAACAAAAGAGAGAACTAATGTAATATGACACATAAATGGACCAGTTATGAATGCAAATCAATTTATTTCATAAAAATATATTACAAAATAATTTTATTAGATTTTTTTAAAAATGTTCTAAACTAATATGTGATAAATGTGGAGTTGTTCCCATAGGGCTGGGGTTTCAAATGGATAAAATTCCGAGTGCCCTGTGTCAAATTGGTTGATGGGGGAAAGCTTTTTTGTGACTCACCTTCATTGTCATCAACATCGGGCGTTTCCATCTCATAAAATTTTCTCTTGATGTAAAGGGGTGTGTTGGGGGTGGGCTCCTGCAACAGCTGATCCATTAACTCCTCATCCTCTCGGCTCGGCTTCTCCTCCAGTGGGCTGGATGGGAAGGGGAGGGCACTAGGTCTGGTTGGAGAGCCTATCGTATTCTTGATCTCTTCACCGTGTTGGTTCACTGTGACAGCAGGAGGGGAGGATCGCAAGAGGAGGTCACTAGGCTTATTCAAATGGTCTGGTGGGGGGGGGGGGGGTTTGAAAAGTTGCAGAAAAACGGTATATTTGACATAAGAGATCAAGTTAAATTTTGAGTAATTTAATGTTCACTGTGACAGCAGGAGGGGAGGATCGCAAGAGGAGGTCACTAGGCTTATTCAAATGGTCTGGTGGGGGGGGGGGGTGTTTGAAAAGTTGAAGAAAAACGGTATAGTTGACATAAGAGATCAAGTTAAATTTTGAGTAATTTAACAAATGACATGTTTGCAAGATTATGATGGATTGGAATTTTTTTAAAAATCTTATAGACTCCTTAAAAATCCATGATGCTGTTTATCTCTAGGCATTTCATTGTAGAGAGTAAATAACATTATTGACAGAGACATGAACCTTTTTATTACCATCAACCTGTCATCACACGTCTGGCATGGATTTACACCGCCATCCCTCTTCCAGACGCTGCATCCAATGCAACTGAAATACTGAAAATGTTGAGCCTGAATCTGCTCCCGGAGTAAAATGTTCAAATACCAGAGATACGTACCTGTAATACCTGAACTGTCTGCAGAATTGTTGTTGTCCAATGTGAAAAGTGTGGGTGGTGATGGGTGGGATGTGCCTGTACCAGCATTCTCCTGACTTACATCTAATGATGGCCGTTTGGATGAGTCGTCGTGTGATGTGGGGGCTGATGGTGGAAAGCTGCCAGGTATTGTTATAATGGACGGGACAAGTTGGTCCAGCTGCTCTAATAGTGTCGGCACAGGTACATTAGGGACATGTTGGTCCATCGACTCTGATAGTGTCGTCAGAGGTAGGTTAAGGACGTGTTGGCCCAGTGGCTCTGATAGGGTCGGCAAATGTAGGTTAGGTCCATTTGAAGTTAGCTTGACAGACTCCGCTCCAGAGGACCTGCTTTCGGCGTGAGAAGAGTCAACTTTAGATGGGTTGGTCAGGGTGAAGGCGCGCCTCCTTTCCACGGTCAGGAGCCTGGTGATGTTTTCCTGCCAGCCTAGCTGTTTGGCAAAGCCTTTAGCTGCCCCTGTCTTGGATACAATGATGGCCAAAAGCTGGTGGGAGAAGAGAGAAAGAGGTCAGAACAAAGAAACTGAGAGAATGTATAAACTCTGACAGTATTAATATGTGTACACTGCAATGGTGTGGCTGGCTTAAAATGTATCAGCTCTAGGGGCTTCACAATAGGGCTGAACATAGTGAGATAACACTTTGAGTGATAGTGGGCCACTCAAAACAAGTAGATGCCATGGAGTGAGCTGGGGTGGGGGGGGGTCCCCTCAAATACAAATAAACTTTAATAAACTATTTTTATATTCAGCCATGGGTTATAGCTTTCAAACTTTATCTGTCTTGATGTGCATCACAGTTTATAGGGGTGCATCACAGTTTATAGGGGTGCATCACAGTTTATAGGGGTGCATCACAGTTTATAGGGGTGCATCACAGTTTATAGGGGTGCATCACAGTTTATATAGGTGGCTCTAGTGTTTATAGGGGTGCATCACAGTTTATAGGGGTGCATCACAGTTTATAGAGGTGCATCACAGTTTATAGAGGTGCATCACAGTTTATAGAGGTGCATCACAGTTTATAGGGGTGCATCACAGTTTATAGGGGTGCATCACAGTTTATAGAGGTGCATCACAGTTTATAGGGGTGCATCACAGTTTATAGGGGTGCATCACAGTTTATAGGGGTGCATCACAGTTTATAGAGGTGCATCACAGTTTATAGAGGTGCATCACAGTTTATAGAGGTGCATCACAGTTTATAGGGGTGCATCACAGTTTATAGGGGTGCATCACAGTTTATAGAGGTGCATCACAGTTTATAGAGGTGCATCACAGTTTATAGAGGTGCATCAGTTTATATAGGCGGCTCTAGTGTTTATAGAGGTGCATCACAGTTTATAGAGACAGCTCCTCAGTTTAAACAGGTGCCCAACAGTTTACAGAGGTGCAGCTTCTATTTCTAGAGGTACCCCCATTGTTGATAGAGGTGTCACTACTGTTTACAGAGGTGTTACTACTGTTTATAGAGGTTCTCCCACTGTTGATAGAGGTGCCTCTGTTTATAGAGGTGCCTCTGTTTATAGAGGTGCCTCTACTGTTTATAGAGGAGCCCCATTGTTGACAGAGGTGGCTGTACAGTTGACAGAGGCGCCCCTACTTTTTAAAAGGTGCCTCTACTGCTTATTGTGTTTCAGCTACTTTTTTGCCATGTGAATATATGTCTAGTCTACTAAATGTGTCACACATGATCTCACCTGTCTGCTAGCCTCTGATTTTATGTCCAGACCACAACCGTGAACAAGGCCAAGGATAGATAGCACTGCACTGTAGGTCTGAGAAGTTTCTGAATAAAAAAAATGCACAGGCATTGGAATAGATGAAATATTCAAACGACATATGTAATGAAGAAGGGAAGGCTTTCAATTCAAAGATATAATCATTTTCCATTTCAGCATAAACACTTTAAGTGTTATTCTAAGAAAATTTGCAGCAGTGGCCATGACATTGCCTTCAACGGTATAGCTAACGTTTTACAAATTACCCGTAAAGGCCACTTGTTCAATAAAACGCTTGATCATCGGGGCAGATATCTCATAGTGGGCCATCAAGTTGATGAGACCAGCATGGCCGATGTCCGACAGCTTCAGCCGGGACTTGTTTTTCTCATACACTCTCTCCGTCTTCAGTAGGATGAAGAGGATCTATGTGATGTAGAACTATTTATAAAGCTTGCCCTTGACATTCAATGACCTATATTTTCATATTTTAAAACAGTTAAAAAGCATGAGTATCAGCCCTCACCGTCATATACAAAATGACCACACCCATATGACCATAATAATAATAAAAACATTACGCAAGTCATACCTTGACCACCTTCTCATAGAATATAATTGGCTGGTGAGGGTAGGTCAACAGCTTGTAGAACATCTCTGCTTGGTTTTGCTCATACAGCAGCAGTACCAGCTGATCTTGTTTTCGACTTGGGCTCTCCAGCAGGGCTATCATGAGGTCCATGGCCTCCAGGACCTGGTGGGGGGATCAGACATAAAACATAGGGCCTAAATTAAAAACCCCAATAAGAAAGTGTCCTGGCTAACAGAAGTCAGCACCCAGCCCAAACTATACAAGCTGGGAATGATATCTTAATACATTCTTTTTGTTGTTGCTGGCATCCGTCAGCCACAATGTGACGATGGTGTGGACTTCGCAGCATGAAGATCCACAAGGCCTGGGATTATTCTTCTAGGATTATAAACTGGTTCCCTACACAGCAAATCGCCTCGCTTTATGCCACTGGACAACCCCAAGGGAACATCATCTGGATGATACAGCTTGGCACCAGTGGTGTCGCAGGAGTTGTCGGATTGTTTCATTGTATCAATGTTATCCGCTTACGGGACTCCATCTCCAGGTTTGAATTCAGTTTCCTTCTCTTAGATGAGTTGCCATCCAAGGTTAACGCGTCCCATCCACCTGAGGTGCTGGTGATGTTTTTGCTTGACTTGGCTTTGGTGGGGGATTGAACTCCAATACATTTACTATTTTATAAGTAAACCTTGTGTCACAGATGTGAACATTTTTAACTTTGATTCTTCTTTTATGAATAAGGAAATACACATTTTACGCTTTGCTGAAAATACAGTTCGGGTGCATGGAAAAAAAAGAATATTTTTATGAAGATGTTACCGCCATGTAAATAGGTATTATAATTCTTCTTAGAAAATAAGTAACCTGTGTTCATTCATTACTGAAATAGACAACGTGGCGCAATGCATCCGAATGTAATATCATTGGCTCACCAGTGTCGGTTGTTTGACAGAAAGAATAAACCCCATAAGCTGGGTCAGCTCCTCCACCGTGATGCTGTTCATAATGTAGAACTTGATGAGCTGCAGCAGGGACACACGTATGGACTTGCTGTCCTCTTCACTTAACCCGCTGTCGGCAGTTGTGCTGAAATAACATCAAACAACTTGATCTTGCACCACAACAGGAAGGAGAAAAATAATTTATGAACAATTTTATTTTTTTTTTAAAATTTATATTTGAATTTAATTCAAATAAATGTACCTCTGATTGCAGGGGTGACAGATGGCAATGAAATACATTGTCTGTTATTCATACAATATTTGTCCCTATACTTTCACCGGGAGAACTACACTAGACACTGAAACCTGTTCTAATGCCATTAGATACTTATATTGAAAGAAAAAAAATCCTGAACTGTATCTGTTGCAATTTCCCTTATTTTGTCCATGAAACTATAGACACTAAAAACATTTGTCCAACCCAATTATTAGTCCCAGATATATTTATACGGTCTCGACCATATCAAGAAAAGAAATGAATCATGATAAAAGGCACATAAACACCAACGACATGTCCAGGTGTCCAAGATTACCCGTAGTAGGCCCTGATGATATCCAGGAAAAATTGCACGCCATACTTCTTTCTGAAATATTTGCGATCTTCTTTGATGATGGTGGATAGATACTGGATGTGTCCTAGGAAACAATAATTATATATTTTTTTTTTTAATTCAACAGTTGCTCAATCAAATGCATATACATTTAATCTCATCCAGCCCTTTAGTTTTAATATCCAAATTTATTTACATATTCTGACCAGTCTTGCTTTTTGTTAAATAATTAACTGGAAAATGTGTCTTGCTTTCTGTTACATATTCTAATTGGAAAATGTGTCTTGCTTTCTGATACATATTCTAACTGGAAAATGTGTCTTGCTTTTTGTTACATATTCTAACCGGAAAATGTGTCTTGCTTTTTATTACCTATTCGAACTGCAAAATGTGTCTTGCTCCACAGTGAGAAGTCAAACAGGATGTAGTGGTAGATGTGTTGCAGAAGTGTTGACTTCACACTGGGGGTGTCGTCACAATCCTCTATCAGATACTGGATTGACATCAGAACTGTCACATCCATCATGTCTCGATGAACCTGACAGTAGTGACACTCAAACATGATAGGGTCAATTTAATCTAGGGATTTAGGTCGGAGTTGAAAAACATAATCCAAAATTTGAGTCTATACCTTCAATCTTAAGGGTAATGGGTCGTTCACAAATTATGTCACGTTGGGGGGGGGGAGATGGGATTTGTGACACTTGGGACAGGGGTAAAAAATTTGTGGCGCCACAAAATAAAGAAAATAAAAAATCTAAAATGTTCTAATTTTGAAAACTCTTTATTGAATTAGTTTTAAAAACATTCATTTTCCATGTGGACATTGCCTCTGGTATTATAGGCAGCATCCATGAAACTCGATCAGGCACACTTTCTGCGCTTATCAAAAAATGACGCATAAACTGATGTGGCCATTTTATTTTTAGCTCGGTGATGACTTTGTTGTTTTGCGTTTTACGTCACAGCTTTTTAAATTTTTTTTTGTACTTTTTTTTTTGTAGATATTTTTTCGCATCATTTTAATATCCAATGTGAAGAAAGTACTGTAGCAAGAATATATTTTGTTTCATAGTGAGTAATGTACTGAAATGTTCATAATTTTTTTTTTTTTTTTTTTTTTTTTTTTTTTTTTTTTTTTTTTTTTTTTTTTTTTTTTTTTTTTTTTTAACTTTAAATCACAATCATTCAATATTTATACAGAGTAAAACTAAAATAATTACAGGCAAATTTTCCAAAGTTTTAAATGAACAAAATTTTGACATTATAATGGTGTGTACTAAATTAAACATTTGTTTCCATTATGAATTTTTTAACATGATGTCTTAAGGAATTGGAATGATAAACAAATTATTTGAATGTATTATTTTGTCATTATATTTTCTTAACTGATGTTTTGAATTATGTTTGGTATTTTAATCTAAAAAGTGTTTCTAATGTAATGTTTGTGTAATTATGTTTGTGGAAAAAAGCCTTAAGTCTGTGGTGCCATACATGTTTTCTGTATTGTGAAAGTAATATTAGACTTATTGTGTGTTGTTTCTTGTTTATGGATGCTGGTATTGTGTTTGGTGTTATAGCTCTGTCTATATCTACTGGGTGAACTGTACCTGCTTGTATGATTTGTTTAAGTGTAGATTTAGTCTGTAATATTGTGTTGCATGTCTGATATAAATGTTGTTCTGTCTCATCAGCCCCTGTCCTGCAGAGTGGACATTCCATGTGCCTAACTCTGTCCTTGTATGGTCTTGATGATACTGGTGTCATGTTGTATATGAGCCTATATGTTATTTCTTTGTCTTTATTTTCGATTTCTTTAATGTGTGTATTTTTAAATGTATTCTTAGTGTTTATTGTTCCATAAACATGTGTCCATTTTATGCTATTGTAGAGTGGTGTTGCTTGTTTCTTTATTAAATGTGTGTAAATTTCTTTAGTTGTCTTGTGTATAAGTGTTTCGTTGCCTTTTAATGCTTGAATGCATGCCATATGAAAATGCGATTGTTTTTTTCCCATGTAATGGGGTGTGTTGTTATCAATTTTTATTAACTGCCCTAGCCTTATCCCAATGTAATAATGTGTAAATAAATTTTCCTCCTTCTTTCTAATGGCTTGTCCTATAAATTTGATTCTAAGTGCTTCTAGTTTTGTTTGTATGTCTTGTAAATTAATCCCCCCCCCCCCCACTTCTAATTTAGATTGGATTAATGTAATTTTAATGTTTTGTATTGTATTTGTCTTAAAATGGCTGGTGGAGGTCCCCATATGTTCCCTGTGTATATTGTTTTAGGAATAACATATGTGTTTATGATTTTGCTCCAGCCAAAAATTGTGTGTGCTGAGTATTCATGTCTGTCAATTATGTTTCTTATTGATTGTTCAATGTTTTGCCATGTTTCTGTGTTACTTTGAGTCTGTTTGTTTGAAAAGTAAATGCCATATATCCTAAGACTATCTTTCCTTACGATTTCTAAAGGGAAATCTAGTCTATCTTTCCACCGACCTTATCCCCATAATTTCAGATTTAGTTATGTTTATTTTAGACCCACTACCTCTTCCAAATTCTTAAAATATTGATATTATTTTTGAAATAGCCTTATCATCAATAGCAAAAAAAACTTGTGTCATCTGCATATGCAATGACTTTCGTTTCATTACCTCAAGGGATCCTTACTCCTTTAATACTCTCCTCCCTTCTAATTCTCTCTAACAAAGGTTCAAAGGATAGGATATAAAGGTAAGGGGAAAGGGGACACCCTTGTCTAACTGATCTGTCAATTTTAATGTATTTAGAAAGTGTGTTGTTAATTATAAGATTACTAATGGGGGACTTGTATAAAATTTTAACCCAATTACAAAAATAATCCCCTAGTTTGTTGTGTTGTAATATTTTATGTAGGTATGTGTGGTCTGCCCTATCAACGGCTTTTTCTTGATCTAGTGATAATATGCAAGTTTGGATGTTTTTGACATTTGAATATTGAATAAGTTCTCTAATGAAATGATTGTGGTTATGTATGTCCCTGCCTTTTATGCTGTATTGTTGGTTTATATGTATTAAAGCATTTAAATGTGGTTTTAATTTATTTGCTAGAGTTTTTGTGAGAATTGTATAGTCTGTGTTAAGTAAAGATATGGGTCTGTAATTTTGAAGTTGTGTTCAGTCTGTATCTTTTTTTGGTAAAAGCGTTACATATGAATTATTCATTGAGTGTGGTAACTCATGGTTGCTGTAAGCTTCTTCTAGTGTGGCATGTAAAATTGGTCCAAATGCTGTGAAAAAGAAAAGGTAGAATTCCGTTGTAAGCCCATGTGGCCCTGGTGTTTTGCTTTTCTTCATGCTGGACAGCAGGGATGTTTTCATGTCTGCTCATGTAATAGTTGTGTCCATTTCTTGTGTTTGAATTGTATTGAGCTCTTGTGTACATTTTGTGTACTTATCTTGTAGATCTGACTCAGTTTTCTCTGTTCCAAAAAGTTGTGTGTAGTATTTTTCAAATGTGTTTACGATCTTTGGAGTCTCTGTGTGTGTTTCCCCTTTTATGTCAACGATCTGTCCTATCTGTCTACTTTTTTTGTGAAAGTTCTACTCCTAACATCTTTGTAGGTGCCTCTTGGTTGTTAGTGAAAGTTCTACTCCTAACATCTTTGTAGGTGCCTCTTGGTTGTTAGTGAAAGTTCTACTCCTAACATCTTTGTAGGTGCCTCTTGGTCCTTAGTGAAAGTTCTACTCCTAACATCTTTGTAGGTGCCTCTTGGTTGTTAGTGAAAGTTCTACTCCTAACATCTTTGTAGGTGCCTCTTGGTCCTTAGTGAAAGTTCTACTCCTAACATCTTTGTAGGTGCCTCTTGGTCCTTAGTGAAAGTTCTACTCCTAACATCTTTGTAGGTGCCTCTTGGTTGTTAGTGAAAGTTCTACTCCTAACATCTTTGTAGGTGCCTCTTGGTCCTTAGTGAAAGTTCTACTCCTAACATCTTTGTAGGTGCCTCTTGGTTGTTAGTGAAAGTTCTACTCCTAACATGTGCTCCATTGTATTTATTTTGTTTAATTTTTTTCTAGTTCTTCTTCTAATTATTGTATTTTGGGGCTGAACGTTTTTTTTCTTCTTTCTCTGATGGTCCGAGCATTTCTAATTCTTTTTCTCTTTCTCTGATGGTCCGAGTATTTCTAATTCTTTTTCTCTTTCTCTGATGGTCCGAGTATTTCTAATTCTTTTTCTCTTTCCCTGATGGTCCGAGTATTTCTAATTCTTTTTCTCTTTCTCTGATGGTCCGAGTATTTCTAATTCTTTTTCTCTTTCTCTGATGGTCCGAGTATTTCTAATTCTTTTTCTCTTTCTCTGATGGTCCGAGTATTTCTAATTCTTTTTCTCTTTCTCTGATGGTCCGAGTATTTCTAATTCTTTTTCTCTTTCTCTGATGGTCCGAGTATTTCTAATTCTTTTTCTCTTTCTCTGATGGTCCGAGTATTTCTAATTCTTTTTCTCTTTCTCTGATGGTCCGAGTATTTCTAATTCTTTTTCTCTTTCTCTGATGGTCCGAGTATTTCTAATTCTTTTTCTCTTTCTCTGATGGTCCGAGTATTTCTAATTCTTTTTCTCTTTCTCTGAGTTGTCTGTGTACGCTTGTTGCAAAATTTTGTGTGATATGTTTGATGGTGGATTTTAAAAGTTCCCAGTGTTGTCCTATGTTTTTTTTGGTAGTGTGCTATATGGTTTTATAATGTTATTAATGAGATCTGTGTACTGATTGTTTTCTAAAAGTGAATTGTTAAATTTCCAATGAGGGGATTTTTTTAATGATGTTTGATCTTGTTGTATTTATTGTAATTTTCACTCCTTTGTGATCTGTAAAGTATAGTGTTTCTGGAATGTGTTTTGCTTCATTTATTGTATCTACTGTTGGTATATAGAACCTATCAATTCTTGCCTTGGTGTTAAAAGTATTGCATGTAAATGTGTTTCTTTCCCTTCCCTGTGTAAGCGTCAAACATGTTATATCTCTCTGTTATGTATTGCATTATTTCTGTACCTGTTGTTTCTTCTAAAATTTTATCTTTTCTTTTTGGGTTTGTTGTATCTAAACACTGGTTGAAATCCCCTCCCAAAATGATCTTTCCCCTTTTGTGTGAGTATCTTAGTGTTTGTACTAGTGTGTTGTAAAATAATGGTTTTTCTGTGTGCTGTGAAGGGGTGTCCTATATATTGACTAGTGTGTAAGTGTCTCTATTGTCTGTAATGTTGAGTATGACCGTTCTCCCTTCGCTATCCCTGTCTTTGTGAGTTATCTCCAATCTATCTAATGTCTGTACTATTCCTACCCCCTTACAATGTCTGCCTAAACTGAAATGACTGTTGTTCATGCCTAGAGATTTTGTATATCTTTGTGCGTCATCGTCTGTGTTTATATTTGTCTCTTGTAAAAAAATAAAATCGCATTTGTGTTTTTTGACAATATTAATAATGTGCTGTTCTTTGTTTCTGCAACTTCTTATGTTTAATGAGAAAAGTATGAGTTGTGTTATCCCCATGATTGTTAGTGATGTATTGATGTTAATGAAAGTTACTTTATAAATTTCTGTTTATAAATTCTGAACAAAATTGTCAATTTTTTAAAATTTAAAAGTTCGAAATATAATTTGAGTCTTCTTCAGAAGACATGTCGTCTTCAGTAAAATCGGGAACGTCACCGGGGAAAAGGTTACATTTCAAAACCTTCCTCTTCTCCCCGGTGTTTTGCCCATCAGAAGGTCATTTTTTTTGTTCCCCGTCTTTTAGAAGATGTTGCTTTAGGAGAAGTTGCGAATCCTGGGGCCGGGTTTCTCAGTTGTGTTGGAGATTTTGGCGCTGACGGGGATGTTGTTACCCTTGACAGTGCATCTGCATATGTGCGACCCGGCACGGAATTGTTGTTTTTCTTTACTGTTTTCTTTTTCCTATGCTCAATTGTTTGCCATTCATTTCCTTCATTGTTTCTCCTTCCACGGCTGCTGTGGTTGTACTGTTCTCTCCCTCGGTCACGAAGTCTGCCACGGTTGTAGGGTTCTCTAACTCGGCGACGAAGTCTGCCGTGGTTGTAGGGTTCTCCCCCTCGTTGACCACGTTCTGAATGTTTCCAGGGGTCATCCCGTCTGTATTATCTTCGTCGATTATTAGTCGGCCTAGTGAGTTTGTTATGTCATCTACCTGTGAAGGCTTTCCTTTTCGAAAATGTCTACATTTGCTGGTCCAGTGGTCCAAAGAGCCACAATGGAAGCACGCTTGCTTTCTTCCTGGCAACAGTACCAAGATTTTTGTGTTTTTGATAATACCACACTCTAAGAGTAGATAATGTGGCACAATCAGGTGGTTTTTTTTGGTCTATAGACCACAGTCCATCGGTCGGCCCATTCTTTATTTTGAAATACCTCCACTTTCTCTTCAGATAAAAATTGTAACATCTCCTCTACCCCTTCCTTTGGCAAGGTAGGTGGTACCCAATGTTAAAATAGTTTGGCCCTTTCTCTGCCAACGTGCTCAACGGTGAGCATTATATCTTTATTGATTTTAATATTATTTAAATGCATGTTGTCATACATTTGTTTTTCCGCTCTCTCTCCGAGCTTCAGATAGATACCACTTTAAGGGTCCCTCAAACTGGTAAAAGGCCACAATGTCTCTGCTTCCAATCTTACATTTGTCAAACAAGGCGTTAAGGATTTCGGACTGCGTTGTCCTAAAGGCTTCCTTCCCTGACAATGTAAGGGCAAGTGTTTTGTCATGGTGAACACTGGCAAGTGTCACACACCTTACTGAGGCCCGTTGTCCTAAAGGCATCCTTCCCTGTCAATGTAAGGGCAAGTGTTTTGTCATGGTGAACACTGGCAAGTGTCACACATCTTACTGAGGCCCGTTGTCCTAAAGGCATCCTTCCCTGTCAATGTAAGGGCAAGTGTTTTGTCATGGTGAACACTGGCAAGTGTCACACATCTTACTGAGGCCCGTTGTCCTAAAGGCATCCTTCCCTGTCAATGTAAGGGCAAGTGTTTTGTCATGGTGAACACTGGCAAGTGTCACACATCTTACTGAGGCCCGTTGTCCTAAAGGCATCCTTCCCTGTCAATGTAAGGGCAAGTGTTTTGTCATGGTGAACACTGGCAAGTGTCACACATCTTTCTGGGGGCCGTTGTCCTAAAAGGCATCCTTCCCTGTCAATGTAAGGGCAAGTGTTTTGTCATGGTGAACACTGGCAAGTGTCACACATCTTACTGAGGCCTGTTGTCCTAAAGGCATCCTTCCCTGACAATGTAAGGGCAAGTGTTTTGTCGTGGTGAACACTGGCAAGTGTCACACATCTTACTGAGGCCCGTTGTGTGTGCATCTTGAATTGGAAATATTGTGCTCACAAATTGAAATTATTGAAATACAAAGCTTTGTAAGATCACTTGCGCTTTAAACTTGACACAGAAGAAATCCAAGAAATCTTTATAACACTTACTATACAGTTGAAATCTTGTAAAAATGTTTCAATACATCCGATGTCGTCAACTTTACAAAGTTAAATTTAACAGTATTTTAATTTATCAAATAATATGTCACAAATTATTAATACTTATGCTTGCTTTCTTTTTATACCGCCATCTTAATCCCTTATGGGAAAATGTTAAAGAATAAAATAAAATCTTAGTTTAGTTTATGAAATTTTATGTTTGTTTTGAAATTGTGTAGGTGTTGCGTTACACTAAGAGGGGGGTAAAGAATTCGTGACACTTTGTGACCGGGAAGGGGGGGAGGGGTCAGGGGGTCAGGGGGTCAGAAAAGGTCATTTTCAGTGTGACATAATTTGCAAACGACCCCTAAGTAAATTATGTCCCCTTATACATGTTTTGAGTCTACACCTTTAACCCTAAGGGTTAATTAAATTATGTCCCCTTACACATGTTTTACTTTCACATTAGAAGACATTTACAGCTCAGTAGGATCGTCAACATTTTCTTACCTTCTGCATGAGCATGCCCAAAGTTGAGGCACAATGGGTCCTGACAAAGTTGTCTTTGTTGACTGTCTTTCCTTTGAGCACATACCTCAGCATGGTAATGAAGGCAGCCAGCTGGTTGTGTTCAAGTTTCAGCTCTGGAGGGAGTCAAGTTCACAGACATCAAGCAATGACAGGTACAGGGGAAACAAGCAATTACAAGTACAGCGGAAACAAGCAATGACAGGTACAGCAGAAACAAGCAATGACAGGTGCAGCGGAAACAAGCAATCACAAGTACAGCGGAAACAAGCAATTACAGGTACAGCGGAAACAAGCAATTACAGGTACAGCGGAAACAAGCAATTACAGGTACAGCGGAAACAAGCAATTACAGGTACAGCGGAAACAAGCAATTACAGGTACAGCGGAAACAAGCAATTACAGGTACAGTGGAAACAAGCAATTACAGGTCCAGTGGAAAGAAGCAATGACAGATACAGCGGAAGCAAGCAATTACAGGTACAGTGGAACCCAAACATAAAGAAAATTTGGATACTGCAGTCCTACCATGGCTCTGAAAATATTGCACAACATTCGCACCAGAACGTTGTATTTCATATCAAGTGAAAAAAAAATGTAGAAAGAATGTGTTTTTTTTTGTTGTTGTTGTTTTTTTTTCCATCACAAACACATACAACTAGTCTGACTTCAACACCAAATTGCTCATCAATAAACAAAAACTGTTCTTTAAATGAAATTATCCATCTCATCAATGTAACCAAAACAATCATTTCGACACAGATAAAAGTCAAACCTCACCAATACACAAGCCGCTGTTAATGCCATCTGAATTTATAGACCCCAATTATCACGTTACAGCAGGTCGCCAGAGTTTGTGGCTAATAGCGATAATAAGCTTTTACTACTAGGAGTTTTACGCTTTTACTACTAGCAGTTATACGCTTTTACTACTAGCAGTTATACGCTTTTACTACTAGCAGTTATACACTTTTACTAATAGCAGTTATACGCTTTTACTAATAGCAATAATATGCGTTTACTACTAGCAACTATACGCGTTTACTACTAGCAATTATATGCTTTTACTACTAGCAATTATACCCTTTTAATACTAGCAGTTATACGCTTTTACTACTAGCAGTTATACACTTTTACTACTAGCAATTATACGCTTTTACTACTAGCAATTATACGCTTTTACTACTAGCAGTTATACGCTTTTACTACTAGCAATTATACGCTTTTACTACTAGCAATTATACGCTTTTACTACTAGCAATTATATGCTTTTACTACTAGCAGTTACACGCTTTTACTGCAGCAATTATACGCTTTTACTACTAGCAATTATACGCTTTTACTGCAAGTAATTATATGCTTTTACTACTAGCAATTATACGCTTTTACTGCTAGCAATTATACGCTTTTACTGCTAGCAATTATACGCTTTTACTGCTAGCAATTATACGCTTATAGCAATGACATCATTAGGTAACATATGAGGCGTAGCGATAATATTTTGTGACCAGGGACGAACTATACAATGGGCGCCCCAGCCCCCTCCACATTTAATCACATTGTTCTATTACATTGAATAAGGAAAACAATTTAAATTTTAATCAAACATTCCATTTAAAGAAGAAAATTTATAGAACTTGTAGTACATGACCCACTCAGCCACTGTCGTAGACTGGTTAACATAGTCCAAAAAAAGTTTATTTTTCTTGATTTTACTGTCGCAAACTGGTCAATTACGCAATCAAAATCTGATTTATTCAGTTTCTCTTTGAATGCTAAGAAAAGCAAGATCTTGTGACCAATTTATTTCCCTTGTTTACTTATTATAATGTAACGTTGTAGGCCTCATTGTGCCACCCCTGTACCTTGGCACCCGGGGACATATGTACCCCACTTCCTTCCCGCCCTCTGCCTGATGAATTAATGTGATATAAATTATAGAATTTTAAAATCAAGAAAATATTTTTGTTATATGAATTTAATGTTTGTGACAGCAATCAAGTTTCTAAATCATCAAATTAATAGTTTACCTGATGAAACAGATGTCCCTGAGGTGACTACGGCCCATTCATCGAGATCAAGTTCATAGGCTTCTGTTTTGGTTGGTGAACTCGGGCTCTCCATGGGCATCTCTATGATTGTCTGATCCAACATCTCCAGCAAGGGAAATAACACTTGTATGCCTCCGAGGCAGTTGATAACATCCTATAAATGATATTGTTGAAGAGGGCAAAACAAAAGAATATTGATAAAATTAATGCCTGTTGCAGACCTGTTTACTTTTACGATTTTGGCGTACAATGTACAATTTTGAGGTGTATACATTAAGTATACTGTATGTTTCTTTTTTACTATTAAGATAATGTACTGAATGATTTTGTGATGATATTGTACGATTTTGAGAGTTTGAGGGTAAACAGGTCTGCCATTGAAAAGGGGAGGGGGGGGGGATTAAAATAAAGATTTAAGTAAGAAATTATCTCAAATTCTGATAAAATCCTCAACTTCTAAGAATTATGAGAACCAGTATCACTACGGACGGCCACATTCGCCATGAGAGATGCTCAGTTACCCCCACTTCCAAATAAATTTGACTTAATTTACTTAATAGTTTTTTTGCTTTTAATTATTTGTATCAATTGATCTCTCCTACAGTCCTAGAGTGCATTGCATGGGCACCACTATGTTAAGAGCATCACCTGGTCATACATAGTGTAACACATCATGACAAAACTAGCATTCTCTTATTCAAATAACATTGTCTGCTTTCAAATCCTCTATGAGTCATCTTTTCACTCTCATACAGGAAAGCACACCCTTTCACTGGATGGGCAAACAAAATGAATGGGTGCTCGCTTTCCACTCAAGCAACTAAGGGTTGCACCCTCTTCACTCAAGCCTTTAGTGTCCAAACAATGAACACTCCATGATATTTTTACAAGAGGTGAATAAAAACAAACCCTCAGGTCCCAGTTGATACACTTGTTGCCAGGGAAAGTTCCATGGTTTTGGTAAGGTGAAAGGTCAGCACAGATTTGACTCTTGCAAGCCTGAAATGGAATGCGAGCACAGACGATGTCTTTCTAATTTGAAGATAAAATTATGACTGTCTAACTAACACTCATATGGCCAGTATTCTATTTAACTAGTTGGCTCAAGTTGGCCCCATCTAACTTCTAATTTTGTAATTAGCTTTAGTTAGCAAATTATTTCCAATGCTTGTTTAATTATACATAGTATGTATATATATATATATATATCCCTGTATCCTAGCTAAAAATGACAGAAAAGAATAAGTGACTAAAACAAAGTAAGATACAGTTGTTAACATTTATATACATTGCTGTTCTTTATTTTCATAAATGTATTTTATTTTAATGTCATGATTATAATGTCTCTTTTGATAAAATTTTTATGTACAGCGCGGTGAGCCCAGCCCTAGGCTGGGGTACCACGCTATATAAGACCTCTTATTATTATTATTATTCTGTATGATCATTTGTTAACATTTGTATTCTGTATGATCATTTGTTAACATTTGTATTCTGTATGATCATTTGTTAACATTTGTATTCTATATGATCATTTGTTAACATTTGTATTCTGTATGGTCATTATTAAAGCTGAACCTATATTGTTTCATTTACACAAATTGTTTGTGTTTAAATAATCTTGATAAATACAACAATGCCATCTTATATCTGATTTATAAATACAACATTGCTGTATTCTTATATCTGATTAACAAATACAACATTGCTGTGTTCTTATATCTGATTAATAAATACAACACGGCTGTCTTATATCTGATTGATAAATACAACATTGCTGTGTTCTTAATATCTGATTTATAAATACAACATGGCTGTCTTATATCTGATTAATAAATACAACATTGCTGAGTTCTTAATATCTGATTTATAAATACAACATGGCTGTCTTATATCTGATTAATAAATACAACATTGCTGTGTTCTTATATCTGATTTATAAATACAACATGGCTGTCTTATATCTTGCATGGTTTAAGCCTGGTGATATGTGTTCTTTGTTTACTTCACCAACATCAAATTCCTTGATTTACTTATAAGCCACATAAAACAAGTCCAAGTCTAGACATTTGCCATTGTATTGTGTTAGGCTGAAAGAATTGAGCTCAAAGTCACAGTCAAGCAATAGAAATAACAGAGGATTTTAAAAAAAAATGTTTTTCAAATGTTTTTGTTTACCTTGGCATTGTACCTGGCGATGAGCTTGACTGGCAGGTCAGCTATGGCTGGGTCACTTGTAAAATGAAACAGTGAGTTGAAGCCTGAACAAAAATAAATTGCTGTTACAGTTTACAGTATGTTCATGTAATAATGCATTGTTATTGTTTACAGTTGTGTAACACAGACAACTCAGATCTTAAATAATATAATTGTAAGTGTATTACAAAGTAACCCAGTTATGGGATCAATATGCTCCATTTGTACTTGATATTATGGATATAGCTTGTCATAAATCCAGAGAAATACATACATTTAATTCAGTCATAATAAACTTGATAAACACAAGTCTTAAACATTGTTGCTTGAGGCCCTATCTCATTGGAGAAATGACCATTGGCCTGGCACCACTGTCTTAAACATTGTTGCTTGAGGCCCTATCTCATGTGAGAAATGACCATTGGCCTGGCACCACTGTCTTAAACATTGTTGCTTGAGGCCCTATCTCATGTGAGAAATGACCATTGGCCTGGCACCACTGTCTTAAACATTGTTGCTTGAGGCCCTATCTCATGTGAGAAATGACAATTGGACTGGCACCACTGTCTTAAACAATTTAAACAATCAATAAAATTAAATTGATAGGTATTCAATATTTTTGGTATTACAATGACAATGATGTGGTGACATATTAAATCTAACATGCCCCTGTGCTGGCCATACAGGTGGATATCAGGAGTAAAAACTGACCAACCTGTTTCAGATTTACAGGTGATCACCAGGTGTATAAGTTTATTTACCTGTCTTGTTCAGGGCCTTCACCTGTTCCAGTGTCAGTAAATCGTTAAATACACAGATCGATTCCAGCTGACCATAAAGACAGATGGAGGGGCCCAGCGTGTCATCCTGGGTACCTGACGTGAAAGTGTTTACCCCGGGCCCATAGCTTGAGGTTTCACCGCCACGAATCTGAATGCCAAGGATAAACAAGTCGAGCAAAGTAGGTGTTATAGCACGTGTCTTGACCTAATTTTACTTCAACATAGATCTAAATCATCAACCACTCCTCTCCCTCATTTTTTTTTTTGGATACTAACATCACCAATTAAATGTGTTGTGACAATCCTTTTCACCCACCCCTCCCTTGATTGACAAAAGGTTGTTTACGTTTCAGTACATTCTAATTTGTTGTAAAGAATTCTAACAGGTGATGCAGTTTCTAGAATGTTTTTCTGGAGGGTTCCAATTTTCTCCTTAAAAATAAAGCAGCAGTTTTCCCAGACAGGAGAGATTCTTGCTATTTTTCCCCAGACATTTACAAGCTAAATTGTAACTGTCGATGTGCAGATGATTGCCCAAATGCTTAAATCAGCGAGTCGAGAATTGGACTTCATAGCCACCTCACAGCCCACTCCTGATAGGCCAAGCACTTTAATATTTGCATTTATGATCTTCAAACGCAAATTTAAGGCATCATCTCATACAAGTTTTTGGCAGAATTTATCAAATTAAAATTAATTTAATATTTATTTGACCAGCAGAGAATTGGGCAGTTCTGATACAAATTAGTATGTCTTTAGAAATAGAGCAAACATAATTTTGGAGTGAAAATAACAAAAAATATTTCATACTGAAGTTAAAAATATATATCTATGAAACTCTAATGCTGCTGCCAAATCAGTTAATTCCTAATCAGCTACTACCAAATCAGCTACTGCAAAATCAGTTAATTCCTAATCAGCTACTGCCAAATCAGCTACTGCCACATCAGCTACTGCCAAATCAGCTACTGCAAAATTAGTTAATTCCTAATCAGCTTCTACCAAATCAGCTACTGCAAAATCAGTTAATTCCCAATCAGCTACTGCCAAATCAGCTACTGCAAAATCAGCTACTGCCAAATCAGCTACTGCAAAATCAGCTACTGCCAAATCAGCTACTGCCAAATCAGCTACTGCCAAATCAGCTACTGCCAAATCAGCTACTGCCAAATCAGCTACTGCAAAATAAGCTACAGCAAAATAAGCTACTGAAAAATAAGCTACTGCAAAATAAGCTACTGCCAAATAAGCTACTGCAAAATAAGCTACTGCCAAATCAGCTACTGCAAAATCAGTTAATTCCTAATCAGCTACTGCAAAATCAGTTAATTCCTAATCAGCTACTGCCAAATAAGCTACTGCAAAATCAGCTACTACCACATCAGCTACTGCCACATCAGCTACTGCCAAATAAGCTACTGCCAAATCACCTAATTACAAACATCTACTGTCAAATCAGCTAATTCAAAATCAGCTTCTGCCAAATGAGCTACTGCCAAATGAGCTACTGCCAAATCAGCTACCGCCAAATCAAGTGTGCCTACATACCATTCCATCAGAGTGTAGAAAATCAATTCAATCATTACTCTCTAATCTCTAATAACGGATCTAGACTGAAACAGACATGAAGAATTGACTAAAATTTATGCATTAATCAACTATTTCTTTTAAATTATGCCTACCGCAAAAGTAAATATTGATTTGAGTGGTGAGACTTTTTTCACTTCTGCTTGGTGGTATGCTGGCACGTCATTGACTGCTTCCACTCCAATCCTAACTCCTGGTGATCCCACCCTACAGATGTTGAAGGGCTGTGACGAGGCAGACAAGGGAAGTTTATAAAATAGGTAAGACACAACGTGAACCAGAACAAAAAAATAAGGTTATTATGAATTCCATTTTTAATTTTGATAAAAATTATATATGCTTCAATTTTAAAAGATAATAATTGAAGGACTCCATTCAAGCTGCGTGAATGAAATAGTAGAACAAGTTATGTTGAATCATCCGGCAGCAACAAAGGAGATCTCTAAAGTTTTTTTTTACTGTGCTCTGCTTCTTGTATTTTCATTTGTCTTGTTTGCTGAAGAAGGCATTAAGTCGAAACGTTCACATCTTATTGCCTTGGCTTTAGATTCAAGCTTTCACATACCTTGTTCAACTATTTCATTCTGTTTTAAACTGGTTCAGTACTGAGTGGATACAATTTTTACCTCTGAAAGACTTGGAAACTTGAGGTAAGCACTGGTTCTCAAAACGCCATCTATGTACACAAACACCTGACCTTGACTGCTGGAGAACCTCCTGCCAGCAATATGGCCAACACATACAGAATGCTGAAATAGTGTGAGCATTTTCTTAATCATAGTCACTCTTATTATTGCCCTTATACGTGTGTGAGTGTGTGTGTCAATAACAATATTACCTCAATCATATTTTGTTCTAATAGTTTCCATGTTGGTGACACAGATATGTAGGTGGTTAGTTCTGTGACACATTCACATCCATTCTTCTCCGGCTCTTAATGGGCCTGCCTCCTGTACAGTAAAGTTCCCTGTTGTAACGTGTTCGTTATAGCCGAGCTCTCACTGGTAGGCGTTAATTCACAACCATCTCTTCCTCACATTCATAACATGGAAATCCTCGGTAAACACAACTGATTTTAATACAGCAGCTGAACATATCTACACTTTTTACTGGAAAAACATATCAGTGAAAATTCATTACAGCCATCTTCCCTTGCTCGTACCTACACACACACTCTCTTTCATCACGTGATCATCTTTTTTTCCAATCATTCCTCTCACGTGACACCTGATGACCAGTCATGGGGCCTACTGTAAAGTTCCATGTGCCACCGGATGACCAGTCATGGGGCCTACTGTAAAGTTCCCTGTGACACCTGATGCCCTGTCAAGGGAGCCTACTGTAAAGTTCCCTGAGACACCTGATGCCCTGTCAAGGGAGCCTACTGTAAAGTTCCCTGTGACACCTGATGCCCTGTCATGGGGCCTACTGTAAAGTTCCCTGTGACACCTGATGACCAGTCATGGGGCCTACTGTAAAGTTCCCTGTGCCACCTGATGCCCTGTCATGGAGCCTAGCAACAAAACTACTCTAAGAAATAATAGTTCTCATGGCAAGTCTCACTCTTCCTTGTTGAAAAAAAAGTTGATGCTTCAATTACTGTCACAACAAAAGGATGTGTCCATTAAAATTTGAGCAAGACGTTGAAATGTTCAGTCTCACCAAAATTTGGATAGTAGAGTGAAATTTAAAAATCTACATTTAAATTTATTTTTAGATTAAATTCATTTTACAGCACAGTAATAAAAATTTTTTTAAATATATTTCTCTCTTTCTATTTCTATGCCATTAATCTTGTATGTGTATTTCCAATTACCGTTTTGCCTCTACTCAGACATATAATCCAAGTTAAGTCACTTTGCTCAAACACACTGGAACAGTATATCTAAAGGGTCGGGAAGAGTGGGTTGAGTCTAGCTTTTTTTTTTTAAATTCTTAAACGGGTGTTAAATGTTTTTCCAAAAGTAAAAAAAAAAAAAATAAACCGTAATAAAAAAATTTTATGAGTATCTGTGCCACCTGATGCCCTGTCATGGGGCCTACTGTAAAGTTCCCTGTGACACCTGATGCCCTGTCATGGGGCCTACTGTAAAGTTCCCTGTGACACCTGATGCCCTGTCATGGGGCCTACTGTAAAGCTCCCTGTGACACCTGATGCCCTGTCAAGGGAGACTACTGTAAAGTTCCCTGTGACACCTGATGCCCTGTCATGGGGCCTACTGTAAAGTTCACTGTGACACCTGATGCCCTGTCATAGAGCCTAGCAACAAAACTACTCTAAGAAATAATAGTTCTCAAGGCAAGTCTCACTCTTCCTTGTTGAAAATGCTTCAATTACTATCACAACAAAAGATGTGTCCATTAAAATTTGAGCAAGACGTTGAAATGTTCAGTCTCACCAAAATTTGGATAGTAGCGTGAAATTTAAAAATCTACATTTAAATTTATTATTAGATTAAATTCATTTTACAGCACAGTAATAAATTTTTTTAAAAATATATTTCTCTCTTCCTGTTTCTATGTCATTAATCTTGTATGTGTATTTCCAATTACAGTTTTGCCTCTACTCAGACATATAATTCAAGACATGTCACTTTGCTCAAACACACTGGAACAGTATATCTAAAGGGTCGGGTAAGAGTGGGTTGAGTCTAGCTTTTTTTTTTAAAAACTTAAACGGATGTTAAATGTTTTCCCAAAAGTAAAAAAAAAAAAAATTGATCCTCATAAAACAATTTTATGAGTAAATAGAAAGTTAATCTGAAACTATTGCATACCCAAAGACCATCATCAAAAATGAAATCACTGACTGTGACTGTACTGAACTCTTTTTTGTTGAAGGTGGCAACAGCCAGGTGGTGGGAAGGAGTTACAAAAGCCTCAAACCCACTGCCACTGCTGCTGCTGAAACTGAAAAGGAAACAACAGTTACTGTCCTTGTATTTGCTTTATTGTAAAAATAAGTTGTTGTTTTTTTTTAAGTACAAAGGGGGAATGGGGGTGGAGCACTTACTTAAAAAAAAAGAAAGAAAAAAAAAGAAAAAGAAAAAAAAAAAAAAAAAAAAAAAAAAAAAAAAAAAAAAAAAAAAAAAGAAAGATACAACAGGATTATAAAATGTGTAGCATTTTAACTTAACGACATAGTAACTGTCAATTTTTCTTGTTTAATTTTATTAAGATATGAGCAAGTGATTTTTGATAAATCACGACTTACCTGTAGAGAATTCGCCTGAAAGACAAAGGTGATCCTAACTGGCCAAAGGCGTCAAGACTTGGAGTAGTGTCAAGACACACTAAAGTGAAGAAAGTGAATCCCGGTCCTGGCCACTTCCGTATGCCTGGCAGGCTGATGACCTATTCATGAGTTATAATAAAATATAAATGAAATTTTAAATATACTAATTTTATTTTATTCCGGCCATTAAGTTATCACACAAAGACAAGAGTTCTACAGTCGATTCTTTCTATAATTTTACATTTCGATACAGGCAGCCTGAAACATTAACCATATTTTTTTTTAAACTGACAAGTCGATTTTTAGTATTTCCTAAATGTAATGCAACAATAAAGATTTTTAACTTGAGATCATGCAAATATTATTTCTTGAACTTACTAAAAAAAAAAATTCCCCACTGTTACTTGCAGCCTAAAATTTTTATGACATTATCAAGCACTTTGCGCAGCAACAGTGAACCATCCAATTTAAGGAAATACAGAAATCATTCAACTAAGATTTAAATTTATAATACTAAACACAGAAATGTATTTTATTCTTAACAGCAATAATACTTCACTTAGTTTTAATTCTTGCACAAAAAAAAAATCAATTAATGGATTATAACTTTCTATTTTTACCCTTTGCAATAGGGATTAGGAGCAGAACTCTGGACCAGGGATTTGGAGCAGAACTCTGGACCAGGGATTGAGAGCAGAACTCTGGACCAGGGATTTAGAGCAGAACTCTGGACCAGGGATTTAGAGCAGAACTCTGGACCAGGGATTTAGAGCAGAACTCTGGAGCAGGGATTTGGAGCAGAACTCTGGACCAGGGATTTGGAGCAGAACTCAGGAAAAGGATCTTTTTTGCCTGGAGCAGGTAAAAATTTCATACTGTTCCAATTAATAATAAATTAATTTTTATTAAATTTTTATAAGTTGTACCCCACTCTTCTAAAGCTATCTTGCCCCACTCTACTACAGCTATGTTGCCCCTTTGTTATACCAGCTATGATGCCCCACTCTTATATCAGCTAAGTTGCTGGTACATGCATTTCACATGTTTAGTAAAAAAGATGGGTAAAGGACAGAAATAAACACATTTCTTTTAAGCTCCCACCTTTAACCACCCCTTAACATTCCTTTAATAACTCCTTAACTCGAGCTTAGAGCGGAGTGACAAAAATTTTTCCCAGAGTGGAGCTCAGCCAAAAACAAATCAGCTCCAAATACCTCTTTGAACCCTTGGCTACTGGCCCTACAACACCAAAGCCACTGGGATACTAAGTAAAATTATCACAGACACACAAGCGAAAAGAATTCCATGATTATGTATTTATGTAAATCTAAATTTGTCTGTTAACAGACCTTTACAGTTATCAAATGTGTCACACGGAGAAAATTGTTTTATAATCCCTGTAGAATGGCACAGAAGCCAGTCTCACACCCTTGATTTTCATACAAACCAAAGCAAGGACTAGGGATAAACCTAAACTCCCAAAGCACACATTTCCCTACTAAGCACGTTCATCGTCACTATCAGTGTCTACACGTTCCACCACTAGCACAGCGATCACTATCAATATCTAATTGCTTTTATTAATATCCTTTGTTTCAAAACACAACAATAATCTTTTCAATTGTTTAAATTATTTTAAAAAAACCTGATGTGTTTTCAGTCCTTTAGAATAGCATTTTTTTTTGGTGCATTTTCCTCACCTCTCTACATAGAAAAACATTACTCAGACACAACAAAAACAATGAATCCAAGGGCAATGCCATTACTGTGACCTTTCATAGGTCGCATGTTAAACTTTAACTTCTGTATTTACAACATATTTTTATATTACAGACTCTTGAGCTAGGCTAAGGCAGGGGAGACCGAAATATCTGTCTGATGGGTTATAGATTTTTTAACACACGCACCGCTAAAGCGGGATTTCAGGTTCAAAGGGTTAAAATGAAAGCATCACATCTATTTCATGTTTTGGAAACTTTTGACCTAGTCTGGGCACACATAAAATTCTTACATCTGACAAGTTCTGTATGTCGAAGAAGTGGAGTGGTCCACAGATGCCATCTCTCCTGGCCATGGTTGATATTGCTCGCATCAGGCGGGTGGTGAAAGGATACTGTGGTCAAGTTCAAGAACTAAAGATTTCAATACACGCTACTGAGAGTTGTAAAACATTAATGCTATTTTTAAAAGGTTTTTTTTTTTTCCTTTCGTTTTTCTGTTACAGATGATGAGACAGAAGTTTTTTTACAGAACAGTTGAACTGTTTTTAAATAACAAAATGGTAAGACATTCGGAAATGAAAATTTTAGGTGGGCGATCAAAAATTGAGCTTGAAATGATATTGGAAAACATGGATGATAACACTTCAATCAAGGAGATATGCAAGGAGTTGATGATAACACTTCAATCAAGGAGATATTCAAGGAGATATTGTCTTGTTAAAATAAAAGGAACATCTTCTTCCTCCTTCTTCTATATATTAAGACCCCATGATCAATTTATACCATGTTTACTATGTAAAAAAAATCTTGACAAATATAAAAATTTACTATTCCAGTAGTGTCAGAGATATAGAAGAGAATTAAATGTCAGAAGTACATAAGATAAGGAAATGTAAGATATACATAAGATAAGGAAATCTCAGAAATTTATAAGAGAAGGAAACGTCTGAAGTACATAAGAGAAGGAAACGTCTGAAGTACATAAGAGAAGGAAATGTTAGAAATACATAAGAGAAGGAAACGTCTGAAGTACATAAGAGAAGGAAATGTCTGAAGTACATAAGAGAAGGAAATGTCTGAAGTACATAAGAGAAGGAAATGTCTGAAGTACATTGGAGAAGGAAATGTCTGAAGTACATAAGAGAAGGAAATGTCTGAAGTACATAAGAGAAGGAAATGTCAGAAATACATAAGAGAAGGAAATGTCAGAAATACATAAGAGAAGGAGATATCAGAACCATATAAGACAAAATGGGTCAGAAAATGGGTCAAAGTTCAACAGTCTTTGAAACAAGCTTTACTCCAGGCCAACCCCCTTATGATAACTTGAGAAAGAAACCTGTTTTTGATCCTCTCCAGGCTTCATGAGGTTGATGAGACCTTTCAGCTCAGAGGCTGATATGGACAGATTACCAAGTCTTTCCAACAGGAAGATCAAATTTCCTGGCAAAACACAAATGAGGGTTTCCCCGATGAGCAAATTGGCTTGTGACAATTTAATCAGGGGACAATTATTTATTAGGTAATTGCTGAGTGCTTTGGTAAAGCCTTTTGTAATTTATGGTTAGTAATTCATTATAGCATTTCATAGCAAAATTGGGAGATGGGAATTTGTTTAAACACAATGTTAAGTCAATGGGAAAAGCACCACTAGAGATAGGAGGAAGGTGTGCTATCAAAACTAGATTTACAATTAAAAAAAAAGTCTTACCAACTGTCTGTAGCTATGTTACATGAATAGGTGTACACAGTAATATTATTATCAAATGGCTGTAGCTATGTTACCACAGCTATGTGTACACAGTCACACTCTTACCAACTGTCTGCAGCTGCAGCTGTGAGTGCTGTGCCAGCAAGGAGATGATCCCACCAACCATCTTTCCCTTACAACACGCCATCCTGTTACCATAACTAGATGTGCAGAGTTTCTTCAGCTCTTCGCTCAGCCATATCTGACAGAAACAAACGTGGATAACTCTGCCGTTAAATGCACAACATCACAATTTTAATAATGGAAGCACATAATGTTTATGTTATTGAACACATACCATACGCTGTCATTGGGCTACTTTCGTTTTATTCTGTAATGGTTGAATTTTTAAATATTGTTCTGGATTTATTCTGGCAGCTGTAACTTGACAGGTTAAGACTTCAGAATTTAAAAAAAAATTGTTTTGTAGAAAAGTATTTTTGGTCGATGGGACCCAGTACTTCTGACTTCAAAACAAATACACTTGTAGATGGGACCCAGTACTTCTGACTTGGACAAATACACTTGTAGATGGGACCCAGTACTTCTAACTTGGACAAATACACTTGTGACGGGTTCAAATTTTTACCCAGTGCCTCCCTAAAATGATCAGTCGAGATGAGCACATAAACAAATCAACGGTTGCATGGAGGAAAATGAGATACAGTTGAAACACAAAGTACCTGGAGGTCATGCGACTCGATCTTGACCAGCCACTTCATCAGCAGCACGGTGGCTTGTGTGTTTCTTACAGCCGTGGTTTTCATGGTCTCGTAGGGCGTTTCAACAACCTGGCAATGAGGTCAACAATGCGGTCAAAAATGAGGTCAAATGTCACTAAAAGCTAAAACTTTATCATTGGGTTGTTTTTTTTTTATTAAGCAAATAACACAATGTTTTTACAAATTATGTTGGTTTTGAATTTTACCCACTGAAGATATTTGAAAACATCCACTTTTAATAGACCTAGCTGCGTTCCAAGTGAACTCACCAAATTTAACAGACTTTGCAAAAGCTCCTTTGAGGGTTGCCCACAACCCTGTAAAATTTCTAAAAATTCATTGTGGCCCACACACTTCTCAAACATGATCTGTCAAAAAAGACAAAAAAAAAAAAAAAAAAAAATAAAAAAAAAAAAAAAAAAAAAAAAAAAAAAATTAAAAAAACAACAAAAGAAACAGAATAATCCAAAATGGACAGTAGAGTTAGAAAGGTTTAAGTTTGGACTGTGACATAACTTAGTGGGCACCCAGATTTAACAATGACATAGCTGAGAAGGTACCATGATTCGACAATGACATAGCTTGGTAGGTATCATGATTTGAAAATGACATAGCTTGGTAGGCACCATGATTAGACTGCAACATAGCTTAGTAGGCACCATGATTAGACTGCAACATAGCTTAGTAGGCACCATGATTAGACTGCAACATAGCTTAGTAGGCACCATGATTTGACTGCGACATAGCTTGGTAGGCACCATGATTAGACTGCAACATAGCTTAGTAGGCACCATGATTTGACTGCGACATAGCTTGGTAGGCACCATGATTAGACTGCAACATAGCTTAGTAGGCACCATGATTTGACTGCGACATAGCTTGGTAGGCACCATGATTAGACTGCAACATAGCTTAGTAGGCACCATGATTTGACTGCGACATAGCTTATTAGGCACCATGATTCAACTGCAACATAGCTTGGTAGGTACTATGATTTGACTGCGACACAGCTTTGCAGGTACCATGATTTGACTAGGACATAGTTTTTTAGGTACCAAGATTTATCTTTCATGGACCAATGGAATTTCACTAATGGCTGCAGTTAAAAATTTATTTATTGTATCATACACGGTACGGTTTCACTATTCCTGACATGAACTATATACGACTTAGCAAGTTAAAGTAATTAAATGAATCTTCCACAGTGCTGTGTTTTCAAACTTTTTTGATTTTCCCATGGAATAAAATCAGATTTCCTTCTCTTAATGGAAGGATACCATCCGCCTCACCTTCGCCTTTGTTGAGCCACTCAGCAGCGCTGCCAAGGTGTTGATCACAGAACAAGCAAGTCTTTGAACGTCTTCACCCTGAAACTACAAGTTTGGATCACAGTTAAGTTTCAGCAACTCTTGAAAGTTGTGACAATAAATGCTTATTCCATAAAGGGCGGGCCAGCCGGCCTTGGCAACTTTGGCGCTCAAGGCAGGTCAAAATTTTTGGCCCCCCCTTCCCCCTGGTCATTTTCAGGTTGACGTTGTTAATAATTTTTAAAATTTGCTGCTGGATAAGACTGAAGAATAGAGCCCTATATTCCTAACCGTCTTATTCAGGCAATCACATACAAACAATAAAACATAATTGTTATTTAGATTTTAGGTAGAAAAATTAAAACTAACTTGTTCTAAACTAAAACAGAAAAGGAGCAACTCTAACCAGATAAAATTCCGACCTTCAGCATGCAATAAATATACATTTTTAAAATTTTAAATAAATAAACTGGAACTATAACTAATGCTATTCTACGACAAACATTTCTGAACGTTGCAGAAGAAAAATCACTGTTGATGTCATCTCCATAATAGTTGGCTGTTAACATCATTTTCAATAGATATCATCTCCAAAGATTTGAGCCTTTGACGAGTCCAATAAGCTCTTACACATGTTTAAATCAACTTTTCCTTAGAACAAAATTATTTCTCTAGTTGCAGGGCTGAATCAAATTTTCAGCAAAATTCTAAAAGAAATTACTGTAGATGGACAAACATCCATTGTGAGTCTTTCAAAGGCCCCCTACCACTTTTCACTATCAAAATTGTAGCTTCTTTTTTTCCACATCACAACTCTGGGCCCCTGAAATATATGCGGCCAGTTTGCAGGACCCACATGACCACTCTGACGGCCAAGCACTGACTAGACTGTAAACCTTTCAGAACATTCAGTGGTGATTTCTTGCATAACAGCATGTGTATCGGTAGGAGTATATAATTTAAATTCATCAGTTTCTGAGATGTTCAAATTTGTTAGATAATTTTTGTACGTCTATAAATTCATGGGGAGGTAATGTTTGTCATCCTTTAGCATCATGAATGCGAAATCCTTCAATGATTTTAAGAGTGGTAAGGCTTCCTATCACACTAAAAGATCATTTGATGTTTCTGGAATGGCAAAAATTGCATTATAAATCTGGCCAAGATACTGAATAGGTACAAATGTGTCAATTAAGACCATCGGTGAACGCTCCTTCTACTTCCATGGGCCCACGTTCTGGAACCAGCTCCCCTTCCATATCCATCATTGTGAAACCTCGTCCACTTTTAAAAAGTCCCTTAAAACCCATCTGTTTAGGTCCGCCTATGACCTGTGATGCACCCTCCTTGCCCTGCCTCATTTTCTGTCTCGGGTTGATCCTGTAGTATAGGCCAAAACGTGCCAAAGTGTCCTCGTTTTATAGCCATTTTAATTGTTTCTATAGTATAGTAGTTACTATCCTAGTGTCTCATTTTTATTTTACTTAGTTTACATGTTTTTAATAATTGTAAAGCGCTTAGAGCTGTAAGGTAAGCGCTATATAAAAAATGCCTAAATAAATAAATGAATAAGGATTTTACTGTTAGCTCTAGAAAATAGTGTTGTTTGTTTTAAATTGTACCACAAGCTGATGATGTACAGAAAAACACATTAAATCTGACTTTATAAAAAAATATCATGTTGCAGCTACAGTCATTTTGCATCATCCCTAGTTAAGTTGCATATGAATGGGTGAAGATAGGAAAGGTCGAGGGGGGGGAGGGGGGGTCCTCAGACGGATATTTTTTCTTTATTTAAAGGGTCAGCATTTTCAGAAACTTCAGAATTGTTTGGCTTTTTTTTTGTGTAGAACATGGCCCGCCCCGGGCAGCACTAACACTTGCTACACCACTTTCGCCAACAAGATTTAATGACAGCACCATGTGGAACAAAAAATAAAATATGAGTCCTATTGAGAATTCTTCTATGAACATAATTTTTAAACCAAATTGAAAATAAGTACCTCAACAAATGTAATAATTTATCATAAAATTTTCCTCAAAATATAAATTATTAATCATAAATGTAAAATATAAATTCTAATACTTAAAATGCCCTTATTTATGAAAAAAAATTATTATAAAAAAAATAGTTTAAAAACTATTCAATCGTCATGCTGTCGATAAAGAATAAAAATCTCACTGAAACATACAACAGAGGAGAGCCCCCTCCTTACTGTGTTATTCAAATTGTCCCGAGGTATTAATTTCTTTTTGAAAATACATTTTCTTTTCCCTGGTCCTCAAATTAAAAGCGTTGCTGTCAGGCATTCCACTAAATTTATTATCAATAAACGCCCGGATGTTTAAAAAAAAAATTTTAAAAAAAAAAAAAAAAAAAAAAAGGGGGGGGGGGGGGGGGAAATCTGCCTTAGCTCTAGCTAACCTAAATTTTCACATACCCTCATAAAAAAAACAGAATTTTAAAAAGAAATCAGGATATTGTTTCTTTCACTGTTGAGTTAAATCTCAAGATGCCCCATGAGTTCTTACCACTAAAGTAAATGTAACCGCTGTAGCTTACTACTTACTTGAGTAACAAACGCCGTCACGTCTTAGTATAATCACACTATTACTTAATTTAGATATAAATACTGCTACTTACTTGAGGGTTTTTTATCAAGAGGGCCAGGGCCTCAAACAAATCATCTCTCAGCAGCAGCGTTTGAAGTGCCAGTTTGTCAGGACTATTCACCATGTCCCGTATCGCATCTGGTCAGAGGAACAACAACAATAAAATCAGCCAAGAATCAGAGTTGCACTCATCAGGTAGTAAGGACAAACCAAAACATCACCAGCAGCCCCCCGGGTGGATGGGACTCGTTTACCTTGGATGGCAACTCATCTAAGAGAAGGTAAACTCTGAAGTCAAACCCAGAGATGGAATCCCGTAGCCGTTATGACATTGACACAATGATAATTCTGACAACTCATGTGATGAAACAAGGCATAAGAGCACATTGAAACACACACACAAAATGCTGTTCATCTACTGCATCCTGGTCCATTTCCTGTCGCCTTGAACAAGTCTTGCCATTGGATCAAATAGACAAGGACGAGACATAGAGGCTGACGAATTGAGCAACTCTCCCTAACTTCAAATAGCTCAAGTCAAGGCTACTGCTCAAGTCGAAAATATCCTTGGTCATCTTCAAGTGCAAAGGATGAACAAAATCATTCATTTGGTACCGACCTAGTCTTTTGATCTAGTATGTAACCATCTGTTCATGTTAATTCAGCAACAGTTTAAGTCTCCATTTCACCAATGCGCCAATGTTAGTTGACCGTTTTTCTTCCCAGAAAATCAACCCTTCAATGGCAAGCAGTTTCAAGATAATTATAGTTAACATTATCTGATGCCTGTCGTACTTTATAAATTTGTTATCTAATTACATCAAAATTTTTTAACGATATAATAATTGCCTGCACATATCTTATAATACATTTTTAAATGTTTGTTGTATTCTGCATGGTCATCAAGAAATCTTCAGCCCAAGTATGTTGTCAAGTCTCTCGTGTCTTGATAAATCTGCATTTATCTATAACACAGATTTCTGGACTTTTAACATTTTGAGCTCCACCGACTCTCTTTCCATTAATAGGTCCATAATTTAACTACAAGTCAAAGTTACTTCAAACTAAAAACTATATAATCATAAATTAAATGTAAAGCACGGACTCCTTCAGTTGCAGGACCCACCAACAATTAAGATAAGTATTTCCGGCTCATGGACTTTTGAGCTGATCCCCAGCATGACTTGCATGTAGCTGGAAAACACCTCGGGAACCTCAACCTGGCGCTGAGATGATAAAAACAGGAAACCATTATTTGAGTTTTTGTCCCCTTTTCAAGTAACGAGGTTCAATTTGTAACTGAAATAGAAAATTATTACAGAAAAATTTCTGAAGGGATGACAGGTAAGAAGTAAAGAACGAAATTCAAACATATTTTTACACCACACCCAAGCTGTGTGTGTGTGTGTGTGCCTATGAAAAAATTATAATTTAAATTACTCTTTGTAGGTTAATCTAAAATGATCTTTTGTTCTATATATCAATATTGTCTATGTTTGGAGAAAATTGGGAATGTTTCCCAGATTTTCAGTTAAAGAAAATGTTAATGTTAAAGCAGCAATAAAAATCTGAACAAATTGTTGTAAAACAACAGATTAACAATGCGAGATGCTCTTTTTGGTTTAAAAAATTAAAAGAGATGCATATTAACTGCATTAAATCATGTTACTTCATTTTAAATGAGTACCATGGTGGAGACTGGAATCAAGTTGTATGACAAGAAAAGAAGGAACACCCATTGAGTAAACCTTCTGTTGTGACTTTTCCAAATGCTCTCCAGTTCTGAGCTACTTATTTATACTCACTTCATTTTCAAAACAGCTGAAGAAGAAACCTAAACCCTTTTGAATAACATTTTTTTAAATAACAATTCCTCATTGCGCAATCTTGAAACACCCTAATTATTTTTGCATAAAACAGTCAATGGCATCTTTTGCCATGCACTGACCTCATCCGGGCTGCAGCTGTGAATTTTGTGAATCATGATAACAACACAGCGTAGGACGATGCGTTGTATTTCTACCCTGTCCCGGTCACTGATCCTAGCACAACAAGCAGCTCTCCCTGATAACAATGACAGCAGAACATCAAGGGTCGCTGGGGTCACCGTAAGTGTTGCATTGGTCTGAAATTTTTTTTTAAAATATAAATTACCGGTATTGTGAAATAAAATATTTGAAATTTTACTCTTTTTTTTTTCTTTATTAACTTGACAAAATATTTGTAAAATTTTTTATTTAATTGTTCAAACAAAACATTATTTTATGCACCAGCTGAAAATATTTTTTATGATCAAAGTCAAAATCAAAGTTACTTATCATATTTAAATGAAGTCAAAGTCAAAGTCACTTATCATATTTAAATGAAGTCAAAATCTCAAGACTTTTAATGAAATGACAAGTATAAGTATCATCCATTATTTTGCATCTTATAGAACATCCAATTTTTTTTTTTAATAAACATGAAGAGGCTTATTTTAAAGACCCTTCAGTACCTGAGAACCAGACATTACTGCACCAAACATATGCAGGAGTCTCAGCTGTAATTCATGTGAAAGACGAGGTTTTTGAAAACATTCTGAAAAAAAAATAAACAGCCGTACAAAAAAATTATTTTGACCTTTTTTTTTTCAATCCTCATACGTTCAGACTTGCATGTTAGCAAACCATTTCAAAATTATTCCAGACCTGTTTACTCTTACGATTTTGGCATACATTGTATGATTTTGAGGTGTATACAATATATATACTGTATGTTTATTTTTTACTATAAATATAAGGTATTGAACAATTTTGTGATATTGTATGTTTTTAAGAGTTTGAGGGTAAACAGGTCTGTTTTTCACAATTTTGGGTCATGAGGGAAATGATAAAAACAGGAAACCATTATTTGAGTTTTTGTCCCCTTTTCAAGTAACGATAAATGGAATTTCTCCCTCCCAAGTGCCAGACACTATCAGTCTCTAGAAGTTGTACTCCTCTACACTACCAATACGAACTGCAGGGCCATATACTTGAGCCAGTTTCCTCCGTAAAGTACCTGGGTGTTACCATTAAAGAGAGGTCCGCTGGGACGAACATATTAACAATGTATGTAACCAAGCAAACAAGACCCTAGGGTTCTTAAGGCGAAATCTAAAGATTGGCAACTCCTGTGTGAAAGAAAGAGCATATAAAGCCTTTGTCCGTCCCATTTTAGATTATGCATCTTCAGTCTGGGACCCATTTACCCAGAAGAGCATTGACAGGTTGGAGGCGGTCCAGCCACGAGCAGCACGCTTTGTCCTAAACCGCTACAGGAATACCTCTAGTGTTGGCAGCATGCTGGAAACACTAGGCTGGTCACCATTGGAGGAACAACGACGACAATCCAGGCTCTCTATGATGTACAAGATAAATAATGGGCTGGTCCACTGTTCCAGTATTAAAAAGAAACTTGTCCCTCTCCCCCATAGACAGCGACGAGGCCATGACAGGCAATTCAGGCTCATACCAAGCAAGAAGTATAGAAGCTGCTCATTCCTGCCCAAGACAATCAGGGACTGGAACAATCTTTCAAAAGGAACGGTTGAGGGACAACAATAGACACACATTTGCGTCTATTGCCTCAAGCCTTCAAACCCCAAGTGCATGATTCCCTCACAAAGTGGCACTGGAAATCAGTGAAATTTCCTCATCAACACCAGGAACAGAAACATTGCAAATCCCATCTACATGCATAGGAGCCAAAATGATCAATAAATTGATCGTGGGCCCTTAAGATATAGAAGAAGAAGAAATATCAACACCACACCAAGCCCCTCCCTTATAATTAAAAGTTAAATAATCTGCTTAAAATACATTTTACAATAATGTTGAAAGCGGTAATTATTAACAAATAAACTGCTAGAAAAAGGAAAATTGAAATGGCCACACTCACACCTACCATGGAAAAATGGAATGACTTCATTATGCACTAAAGCTGGCTTTGACAACAACTGTTCCACATCAACAAGCCATCTGGGGTGAAAAAAAAAAGGTAAAATCTCTTGATGATGGTTTGTTTCATTATAAATTTGAATATTTTTTTTTAAACTACCTATCAGGACAACAAACGAAAAATTAGATATGAAAAACAAGTTCATAGTTTTTTTTAAAAAGTGGGATTAATTTTAATTTCATTACTTTTATAGAAAACTAAATATATGTTTTAGTATGTAAATTCCTTTTATATGTACAAAATACACTTTTCAACCGCATTGCACAAACTTAAAATGTACTGTCACAAACTCATGCTTTGAGCTCCAGATAAGCTTTCACATAGGTATTTTCCTCATGATCTGCTTGCCTGCAAGTTCAAAAGTTCACGATCCCCTTTCCATACCTACCTACCAATTGGTTGTTAAAAATGGACATTTCGTTACCCTTTCAATCTTTTCCTCCAAACCAAATAGTGGTCATATAAACACTCCAAGAAATGAAGAACCAGCTTGACCAAGTCAACCACCTTCTCTGTGATCCCCTTTCCATACCTACCTACCAATTGGTTGTTAAAAATGGACATTTCGTTACCCTTTCAATCTTTTCCTCCAAACAAAATAGTGGTCATATAAACACTCCAAGAAATGAAGAACCAGCTTGACCAAGTCAACCACCTTCTCTGTGATCCCCTTTCCATACCTACCCACCAATTGGTTGTTAAAAATGGACATTTCGTTACCCTTTCAATCTTTTCCTCCAAACAAAATAGTGGTCATATAAACACTCCAAGAAATGAAGAACCAGCTTGACAAAGTCAACCACCTTCTCTGCTGTGAAATCTGGCTCTGAACTTTGCTCTGTCTGCTTGTACAGCTGAAATTTAGAGAACCTTGACGAATGGACAAATATTTTGTACACAGAATAATTGAAGACGGTCAATTTAAACACAAACACACCAAGTATATACATTTTATGTGGATTTGTTCCCAGACAGTAATAATCTGTTATTGTAAAATGACTTTAAAGATGTTTTTTTTATCCACAACAGCCACAGCCAATAATGTAGGTAGGGATAAATAAATTTTTTTTGTATCCAATGAGAACTGTTTTGAAAAACAGCTACAGGAGAGAAAATGAATGGAATGCAGGGTTTCTGTGACCTCAGTAATGTCAAACTTTAGGAATATAATTCCTGCCCTGCATGTGGGTCGTTGTCGCAACGCATGCTGCACCCCTAGGAAAATAAATATATATTGCAAAGCCACCGCATTAAAAAAGTAACGCAGTTTGAAGTTAGCCATGGGAAAAAGAAATGGAAAACCAAAACAAGAAGTAACTTACTTTGGAAAGCACAGCCTGAGCAATTGTTATGGCTTGCTTGACAAAATCACAGGATGCTACCAACAACACATTATCATAATTTCTGAAAACATTATTAAAAAATATGTTATATTTGTTTGTATCATCTTGACCGCTCTGCGGCGGGTAAGTTAGGAAATGCACAAGCAGAAAATACTGCTCTTGTGATGCAAATATGGCACTCCTGCCTCATAGCCTGGAGGTAAAGAGTTGCCAGTGGGCAAATAACCGAGGGAAATGGACTTAGATATTCTTGGGGAGGAGGAAAACTCAAGAGCTAAAAGCTTTAACCACCAAAGAGGCCAATCAGTGATCAACTTGACATGGGGTCACCACTATTCCAACACTATGTCTTGAAAATGAAACTTAACAAAATTAAATGAGTTTTATCCCCAAAAGATGGCAAGTTATAAATTACCTGCATATAATGACAAGGCACTTCAAAATTGCTGCCATCAAGTCTAGGCTTTCCACATTGAAATCTTTAATGATGTCCTCGCTACATTTTTGAGCAACCTGACCAAGGTGTTGTAGCATGGACTCTGGGTGTTCAGTTAAAAGTGGACTTTGATTGTAGAGGCTGTGGACAATTTTGTTCACAACAGTTTGTCATGAGTAAAAGGTATTCCTGGCATCATATAGCAGTGCATTTAAAGTAACTTGCTTTATTTTTATATTTTTAAATAACATCTTACATATTGTATCTAAGCTACTTGTGCAGGTTTGCATTACACAATACAACAGCAACAAAAAAATTAAATAAAATTACCCTTCAGCGAGGTGCTCAAAATCAATATCAAGAAAAATGGCATAAAAACTTGTGAAGTGACTGGTGAAATCTAAAACTGTGTCTTTGTCCTTCTGTTGAGGATAATAAAAAGCAAACAAAATTGATTACAGCAAAACATGTGAGTACAGTAATCAGTAAGCACTAAAACATTGACAATGTTATTCCTCCCAGAACATGCTAGGTCATTTTAACAGCCATAAGGTACAAACTAATCAAATCAAGATATATGGGTCCCGGTACCAAAGATTCAAGTATAAAAATTAAAGCCCTCATGAATTAAAAAAATCAATTTTTTGGGTGATATTAATATTTTAATCTAATTAAAGGGAAGTTTTCATCCTCACCACTTCATATGTGTCCGCTCTCATTTAGGGTGATAATTAAGAGCCGCCACATATAAAATGGTGAGGACTACAACTTCTCTTTAACTAGATTTAAAAGATACATATCTTCCCTAGCAATATTATCAAAGTACCTAAACTGAAAATTTTTAATTCTATTCATGACAACCTACTCAGTGACCATTATCTTGTGACATCAAAAATTATATTAATAAAAATAATAATTGTAAAGTTGGGCAATGCTAAGGCCAAACTTTGTAAAAAGTAGTAGCCTAAGACCAAACCCTATGCTAAGGCAAAACAAAGTTAACAGTGGTAGCTTAAGTCAAAACATGTGTAAGTAATTTCAGTGTGAGAAATTTAAATGATCAAATTAGTAAGCCTAGGCCAAACCTGAGAAAGTGAAGAATATGAGGGAAAATAAACTTTGGATATATCATGGCATATTATGCAAGAAATTTAGGGTAAAGAGATACTACTTAAAGTTAGGATTTACATTTTATGGGCATCAAGGTTTGAGCAATTTTTTATTAACACTTAAACATGGCAAAAAGATAAATTTATGAATGTCCTCTCATTTGCTGCATGGAGAATTCTAATATCTCCACTTCTTTCTTAAATGGATAAATCCCAAATTTTAAATTAAAACAATTCAATTACAGTCTAAATTTCATTCAAATTTGGAGTTTTTACATTAATAAATAGCAATTTTGACAAAAATGGACTCAGTTGATGGAGAATGATAGAAATTTTGATGTAACATGTCAATTCATCAGTTAAGTATAATAGCTCTAGTAATGCTGATTCCTTAAGTATTAGTGTATTGAATTCAAATCCAGGGAAATGAATATTATCAGTCTTTACAAAGTTATTGAGTTAGATTTTTTTATAATTTATCGTTTCATCATTCCAGGGGGTAAAGACGTTTATGGAACAATGTTAACAGACCGTATTATACATGGGCATAGAATTTTTTCAGAGCGAAAAGTTAGGGGTTCACATTATAAATGGAATTGCATTGTATGAAATAATATTCAGTAAATATTCAAAAGTGACAAAGCCATGGTATGTATGCTAACTCAGTAGCAGCTAAGTTCTGCAATTTATACAATGAATAATTTTTATTATTACAGCCTTTTACATTAGCTAGTATGTAATATTAGTTACTTGGATAAATAATTTTTTGTAAGTGACAAATCATTGCAGAGTTACATGCCCATTGCTCAATTTCTTTGTCCACTTGAAAATGTAAAAAAACATTGCATATGCATTGGGGAAAAAATGTGGTCGCAGTCATTTCTTTGTAAAAAATAAGTTGTGTTATAAATCAATTTAAGAGAATTTAATGCTGAATAATACTGTGTTGTCCTGTTTATTATCAAGATTTTTTTTTAATAAATCAATTTGAATAAACGTAACTCTAGTTTTTAATTTCTCGCACATTCACCATCAGTCGCAATTTTCATGATAACCACTGTATAATGCATCCATTTATCTACATCAATGGGCAAATAATTAATTTTCCCCACCCTACCCTAACAATTTTATTTAAGTTTCAAAACAGGGACAACATGGGTACGATGACCTGGTACAGTTCATCCCTGGATACCATTGTTTATTAAAGCTTGAAAATAAGACAAATCATATGACCAAGGAGTGGCAGCTCTCTCAAAGAGTCTCTACCCGGTTTTTGTATTATTCACTTTAATATTTTCTTACTTGTCTCAATTAACAGAGCTATGCTAAAACAATTCTTGAAAGTGATCATTATTTTCTCTAGAATAAAATTACAATCATAACTTTGGTATCAAATCAATTGTTTTTTTTCAAGCCCTATCTAAATAATATCTAGGTCTTAAATCTGTAATTTCATTATGAAAATATTTTCCAATACATAAATAAATTCACACTAATTTTACAGTTTTTTTTTTACCCCTCCCGCACTGTCATAAAATGTCACAAAAATTTAGACCCACCATTGAAATATAACTTAACAAACCTCTGCACCCCTTCCCTTATAAAAATAAAATCACCTCCCATGGATATGAAATAACTGCACCTGTGTCAGAAACTTCTCCCTAGAAACAGTAATTCTTAACCAGGGTTGAAAGCACCCTCAGGTGCTGTAGACCCAGAAAAATCTATTTTATGCCATAGCTAGTTGTTGCTGCCTTGTAAAAAAAAAAATAGTAGTTATGCATTTTGCTAGTAGCAGTAAACGATTTTTTTTCTGGTAAATTTTGTTCACAAATTAATTTTATTGGTAATTTTTTTCTTGTTTCTAGAAAGTTAAATTAATTTAATAGAAAAATAAAACTAAACTAAATCCTGATTCTCTCAGTGATTGTTATTTAACAATATGTTAAATATAAAGTTAAGTGCAATTTTTGCCATAATGTTATTTTAATTTGACATCACATCACTTAATCTAGGTACTTTGGTGAAAAAAAAATAATTTTTTTTTAATGAACTAATGACATAATGGAATAGAGCTCATTGTTAACAGAATTTAGACACCAAAATCCGATTTTTAGCTATTTTAGTTTTATAGTTATGAATTTTTTAATAACTGTTATTTTTGTCATTTTTTAACATGCATTTTTCTCACAATTTTGGTACCTTCTTTTTTTTTGTTTTGATTTTCAGCTATAACTATGTCAAAACTTAATGAAAAAATCTCTAATTAACAGGGAAGCTTCGTTATCATTATACTTCATAGAAAACAAAAAAATAGAGAACATTTTCAGGAAGAGTCCTTTTTTAAATTAATTTTATTCAAATTTACCACATAGTCTACAAAATCGCAATAATTTAATTCTTTAAAAAAATCATAACTTTTTTATTTTCAACCTATATGAGGTAAAATTAAGGTGAATTACACTTTATATTAAGGATTCTCTTAAAAATTAATTAAATACAGAAAATGTTCATGCAATGTTTGTATTTAGCTATATATAGGACTTATGTATCAATTTTATTTAAAAACCAACCCAATCGAAAAATTCTTTTAATTTTTTTTTTTTTTTTTTTTTAATATTTATTTTTTTTAAATTTTTTGTTTTCTATTTTTTTTTTTTTTTTGATTTTCAGCTATAACTATGTCAAAACTTAATGAAAAAATCTCTAATTAACAGGGAAACTTCCTTATCATTATACTTCATAGAAAAAACAAAACAATTTGAACATTTTCAGGAAAAGTCCTTTTTTAAATTAATTTTATTCAAATTTACCAAATAGTCTACAAAATCGCAATGATTTAATTCTTTTAAAAAAATCATAACTTTTTTATTTTCAACCTATATGAGGTAACATTAAGGGGAATTACACTTTATATTAAGGATTCTCTTAAAAATTAATTAAATACAGAAAATGTTCATGCAATGTTTGTATTTAGCCATATATAGGACTTATGTATCAATATTATTTAAAAACCAACCCAATCGAAAAATTCTTTTAAATAAAAACCATAGCTTTAAAAAAATAATAATTCAATCTAACTGGATTACATTACCACTGTAAAAATCAGTGCATGCAATATGATGTTGCAATTTTAATTAAACATGCACTTATTCAATGTTAAGCATGCCTATTTACAAATTTTAAAATATACCATGTTATGATTTCACAACAAATAATACTTTTAATTGTGTAAATAAAATATGCCACACTTACCTCTGGTCTTAAAAACAAATATTTATGTCTGACTAATTACCCATTTAAATAATATGTATATTTAATATATAAATATAATATCTGAAAAAACAATATCACAACAACATGCAGCAAGAACAATGTAACAATCGGTACAGGGTACCAATTATACAATTTATTTTTCATGAATTTACAAGTAACCATGCATGGCATTCTCAATCAGTAATGAATCAATGGTGTAAATCAATAGTTATTAGTTGATTTTTCAGCAATTTGTGCTGCAAAAAAAAAATTAGTTTCAGAACAAATAAAATAATACAAAATGTTAAATGTTTTCCTACCATTCCTGGCTTTTGTATTCTTTTACCAAGGCCACATCATACTACACTCTTTATCTTTAACTAATTGCATTTATGATTTCTTTTTAATATTTTATTCACATAAAATTAAATAAATGCAGTGATCAAAATATTTACAAAGTTAAATTATGTGGACAGATCAAATGATATCACAGCTTATATATATTATGAATAAATTTTAATATTTTTAAGTGTTGAAAAAATGTAATTAAATATTAACATGAATTAGAGTTAATGAAATAAAATATAGGCCCTGCAGTTATAAATTCAGATTAATTTCAAAATGCATATGGTATTCTAGGTTGATGGAAAAGGGTATTTAAATTAATCAAGCAATTCAAGATCACCTAAAATTAGATCAGTTATAAAATCTGTTAGTGGCATTTCAAAGTCAGAATTACAGCTTTCATCCTCATCCAGTTTCCAGTAGCTTACTGTAATAAATCTATCAACTGAACCAGACTTTTTCCTATCAAATATGTTTACTATCCTACCATGATAAGGAGTATCTTTTCCATTATCCTCCCAGATAAATAAATGACCACCTAACTGTTTAGAAATTTCTAATGCAGTTTGGTTGATGAACAGCTCAATGTACTACATCTTATCTGCAGAAACACTGGAAAAAACAGAGTCATCTTTTAATTTTTTCTCTATGGCATTTTTTACAATTTTACCAATTGATTTCCGATGACTCTTGTCACGTTGCGCAGCTGCAACGTT